AGTTCCGGCAGCGGTGTCGGTGTTGGAGCCAACGTCATTGCCTTTGCTCTGGGCACTGAGACCGACGGCAGTGGTGAGTAGAGTGTGGCGCTACAAGAAATAAGCTTCTGTCATTGTGTTTTGCGTGCTGACACTCGTGCAACAGTCATCAACCCTGCCCAGCGTAACGCCATTGTCGGCATCAAGCCCACCGTTGGTCTGACATCCCGCAACGGTGTCATTCCCGAGTCCGAGCACCAAGATTCCGTCGGTACCTTTGGCCGCACTGTTCGCGATGCTACCTATGCTCTCGATGCTATTTACGGTATTGACACCAGAGACAACTACACCCTGGCTCAGAAGGGCCTGACCCCCAAGGGCGGATATGCTCAGTTCCTGTCCAACCGCACTGCCCTCAAGGGTGCTACTTTCGGTATCCCCTGGAACAGCTTCTGGGTCTACGCCGATCCCGAGCAGCAGAAGATCCTGACCAGCATCTTGACCCTCATCAAGTCTGCCGGCGCCACCATCATCAACAACACCGAGATCACGAACTACCAGACCCTCGTCAGCCCCGACGGCTGGAACTGGGACTACGGCACCACCCGTGGTTTCCCCAACGAGTCCGAGTACACCTACATCAAGGTTGATTTCTACAACAACATCAAGTCTTACCTTGCCGAGCTCAACAACACCAAGATCCGCTCTCTCGAGGATATTGTCGAATACAACAACAAGTACACCGGAACCGAGGGTGGTTACCCCATGCCCAACGGCACTCCTGCTTTCTGGTCCGGCCAGGACGGTTTCCTCGCTTCCCTCGAGACCAAGGGCATCAAGGACAAGACCTACTGGGAGGCGCTCGAGTTCTGCCAGTCCTCCACCCGTAACGGTATCAACGACGCTCTCACCTACCAGGGCAAGAAGCTGGACGGTCTCCTCGTCCCTCCTGATGTTGCCCAGAGCATCCAGATCCCCGCCCAGGCCGGTTACCCTGCCATCACTATTCCCGCTGGCATCCACTCCGACTCTGGCATGCCCTTTGGCCTGGCTATCCTGCAGACCGCCTTTGGTGAGGATAAGCTGGTCAAGTATGCCAGCGCCATTGAGGACCTGCAGAAGAACAGCAACACATCTTACAAGCGAACCCTGCCCCAGTGGCGCGGCTACCTTGAGAGGAACCTTGCTGTCCCTCTGTAAATGGGGGCAGAGAAGGGAGCCCTGAGGAAAGAATTAAAAAAAAAAGACAAAAAAGAGCCATGTCGTAATGATGCATGCATTTGTATATAGCTATACAAATATACACATACCTACATAGATAATGAGTATTACTAATTAATGTCAAACTTTTCATATGCCACTCAGATGTGATATGACTTTATGATTAAGTGATGCGCGTCACTCTCTCGTTATTCCTTATACTTCTCTTGCTACCCGGTAGTTGGAATAGTGGAAACATATTATCGAGTTATAGGATTTCTTTCTTTCGACGTATGTGACATGTATATACGTCGCTAAGAATTAATTGCTTGGATAAACGGATTTTAGCACCTATCTATGGTAGATTGCGGTGGCATATGAAGATTGTGAGGTTGTTTATATTCTAGTGCGGTACTCATGTAGCATGGAGGTCCACTTGGTTCAGCCGCATTGAAACATAAAAGCATGAAAAGCGCTATAGCAGCATATGGAGCCCAAACATCGGAGAGATTACACATCTTCAGTATGACTTGCTATTCTAACTTGCCCCCTAAGTCAAGTCCTTGTTATTCATCACCTTTTGACATTATTAATAGCACTACTATCTGCAAAAGAGATCGCTGCGAATAGTTGGACCTCTATGTGATGTAGGTGTTGTGAAAAAGTTCTCAATAGAGCTGAGTTTCTTCTTTTGTGGCTAACTTGCCGCACTGATTAATCTATGAGGAATAATTGACACACAGCTAACATCGAATATTATGTTCCATTTCGTAGCTATACTACAGATGATTCGATATATATGTGTTTTCCTACATACTGGATATGCAGAATTCAGCCTCCGTTGATGCCACCACTAACAGAAATAAACTGTCCAGTAATCCAACGGCTCTTCTCACTCGACAACAACAAAACCGCGTCAGCAACATCCTCCACCGTTCCGACCCTACCCTCACTACGAGTCAAATCAACTAGAAAGTCTCTCAAGGGTGCAGATTCAGGAGTCGGCGGTAAGTTGTCCGTCTCAACAGGGCCAGGCGCGAGAGTGTTAATCGTAATATGCTTGCCATTTCGACCAATCTAAGAAAAAAAAACATTATTAGACTTCTTGTTTCGTGATAGTAGGGGGAATGAATCAATATTTACCTCGCGGGCCAAGCTAAAGGTCAACTGATCCATGGCAGCCTTGGCGGCTGCATAGATAGGCAGGGGGTTGAATCCCATCTTGGAAGACACACTGCCAATGTTGATGACACGAGAGAATTTGGGCATGTGAGGATAAGCCTCTTGGAGCAGGAGGATGGGACCGACAACTGAAACTGCGAATGCGGTCTGAATGTCTTCTGGCTTGCTTTGAAGAACAGGGCCCATGGTGACGTATGTTGCATTGTTCACTATGCTCATATGTTAGTATGTCTTTTTTCTCTGCTGTTTAATACGAAACAAGTTGTTATACCAATAATGTCAATGTGGTTGACGCCAAATCGGGACAATGTTTCTCCAACAATCTTCTTGCAGCCTTCTGCGGTAGAGACGTCGGCCTGCACCACGATGGCGCTGTTCTTGCCGGCAACAACATCAATTTTCTCACGGACAACTTCTGCGCGCGAAGCCGTAGAGTTAGATACATAGTTGATGACAACGCGAGCTCCGGCTTTGGCAAGAGTAAGGGCGATGCCAGCACCAATGCCGTTTTCTCTACCGGAACCGGTGATGATGGCGACTTTGCCTGCGAGTGAAAGACTGTCGACGGTCATTTTGAATGATATATGACGGTAGGCTTGAAAGGATAGTTATTTTATATTGAGATGGATTGTTTTGCTTGATGGACTGCAAGCTATACTGTGCGTTCAACGGCATAGTTTATATAGGTAACATTTGTTACTTCTCTTCTTCATCCACAACTATTGCATTACAAATGTTCTCGAAGGATCTCGCTATAGAACTCATCGGATTGAATCATTAATACAACTTCTCTACGATAACCTCACTCATAACCTTGAAGTATCATTCATGGCGTGTACTGTCCAATCATCAACTAAGTGGAATGCTAGCGCGGTGGACATATTTCAAGTCTAATTCCGAAATAGGATAAGAGAGGTCGAGAGAACCACCTTATTCCCATTTTGGACATTGGTCTTCCCTGTCATACGCTGCTTCACAAAGTACCTAAGGTATGGCAAGTTCTACCGAGTTGGCGCCAAATCTTCCAAATCTCTTTTGACGTGGTTTACATACAATTGTAGTTGAGACTTTGGCAGCAACAGTGTTTCATTTTAGGAAGATTCCATTTACCAGATTCAAGCATTTGTTTTTAAATTACTATACAATGAGTAGCAAGCAAAATGAAAACACATATATCAACCCCCTCCCAACATCTAATTCCGCAATGTCGCATGTAACCCATTAATCTTCAGCGCGCAAATCGATTTATTACGTGTAACATAAACCTTGGCCTACACCTCCGCACACGACACCTACAGCCTATTCGAGTATAGGTACCTGTTGTTCGAAAACATGGCGAAACTCCTGGTTGTCACCGGCATAACTGGCGTTCAGGTAAGTTTCCGCCAGTGAATTTGTCATCTGTAACGCATTTACTTATTATTAACACCTCCGACTCTTCAGGGCAGCTCCGTAGCTGATACATTTCTTCAAGACCCAGCATACACCATTCGCGGTGTGACTCGCAATCCCGAGTCCGAAGCTGCCAAGGCATGGGTTGCAAAAGGTGTTGAAATCGTTAAGGGCGAATTTGATGATGTCAAGTCTCTTGAGCGGGCTTTTCAGGGTGCCAATGTCATCTTCGGTGTTACTGATTTCTGGAACATCTGGGGAAACCCGCGTAGCCAGGAACTAAAGAAGCCTAACCAGGAGCTTGTTGAGTACTGTTATGAAGTCGAGCTGCAGCATGGCAAAAATCTTGCCGATGCTGCAGCTTCGGCGGCTTCAACTCTGGAAAGATATGTTTTCAGCTCCATGGCTGATGCCACAAAGTCGAGCGGCGGAAAGTACACAAAGCTGTACCACATGGACTCAAAGGCTCGTGCTGCTACATACGCACAGAGTCTCCCAGCGCTCAAAGACAAGTTCTCTCAGGTTCAAGCTCCAGTCTATTTCCAAGTAGGAACGGAGTGGGGGCTCCCAATCGCGCCAAAGAAGGTAACACATAGCACAACACTCGGCTTCTATTTCCTTAACTCCTGCGGCTCTTGAATCCTTTAAGCTTACAAATCGATGTGATTAGCAACCAGACGGTACATATCGAATGATTGGCCCTGGTGCAGGCCACAAGCCAATTCCGTTCGGAAATGTGCGAACTGATCTTGGTCCTTGTGTCAAGGCTCTTGTCGAACAGGCGCCGCCCAACACGAACCTTTTCGCTGTGGGTGAATATCTCTCCTGGACAGACTATCTCCGCATTGTCTGCGAGACGCAGGGCGTCAAGTACGGAGGGTTTGACGAGCTCTCTTACGACGAGATCAACGAACTTCTACCGGGTGGCCTGGGCCACGAGTTTGGACTCAACGTCTTGTTTGCATTCGACTTTGGGTATGAGGGTACAGACCCGGGGATTGTTGGACCTGGAAAGGTAGGCAAACATACATGGGCTGATGCCATGAGATGAGATTTGGAGCTGACTTGTTTTATGCAGTACGGAGTTAGAATGACATCGTTTAGGGAGTATTGCGAAAAGAGCGATTTCTCTGTTGCACTGAACAAATGATAGAGCATACCTGTTCATTGTATCTACAGAATATTACAACATAATATATAACCGGTATTAGGTGTCGAACAACTTTACATCAGAGCCCAGCCATTTTTTATAGTGACCAACTGCTCTCGGTTGTACCCATACTGTTGGTAAATTGGTCGTCGAACGATTCCCAAGTCATCTCCTCGCTATTGTGCCATTCCTCTGCCAGCGTTGCCCAGTCATCGTGAAACCCTGGAAGCACCTCAGGCATATCAACGATCGTCGACTGTGCTGATGCCTGGGTAAGGCCCGAGTTCCAATTTGCCTCGGCTATTAATGTGCCACCACTCATCATTGGGCATCCAAATGTCTTGCTAACTTCGCGTGATGGCTGTTCGCTAAGCGAGCTCAGCCGACGATTGTACTTTGCCTTTAGCACGCCGAGTACAGCACGATTGGCCGAAAGAACGCCGTTTGAAGCAACCGTTGTATCTCCTTCACGCGAAATCTTGGATAAGAATTGATCTAGCTGGATTTCCGAATTGGCCCACTCCCAGTCAAAGTCAGGGCATTCCTTGAGAGGAAACGACAGCCGGAATGCCAGTGTAAAGATGGTTATGAGCCGCGTCCAGTCGTTGACAGTAAAGGATAGTATCGCCTTGTCGCTTAGCCCGCCTACGTAGTCCAAACAGGCCCGTATCTTTCTCGTGCCGCTGTAGATTTTGGATATCGGTGGCGGGAAGCGTGTGAGTTTGGCAGATAACGAAGTTTTGGCAACGGGAAGGGCGAGTAAGCTCCCCGTGTCGAGGTATATGTCGAGAAACATCATTTGTAACCGAACAGGTTCTTTGGCTTTTTTATAGTAAGTACCCATCACGTCTTCATATTGGGTCAAACATACCGAGGAGATTGGGGGATGTAGCTAGTATGTTGTTCCTTATTTGCTGATACTGTTGTTCGAGTCCTAGTAGGGTCAACTGGCTGTTTCGTACAGTCTGACCGTCTCTGTCGTTTATGGCGTCTCCCGCATCGGAGCTTAATCTTGATAGGCGGACCAAGGCCGCCAGTGTGCGATCGCCTTCAACCTGGGCATTCTGCTCCAAAATGTCGATGGCTGTCCCTGCCCAAGGTGGGAGGCGGGTATGTACACATTTGTCTCCCTTCCACACAGCGACGTATCTGGGAACGTTAGCATCATGTATGGCATAAGGAGAAATACAGGCTTGGCTCACGTGGAGACGAGATACACGTAGGCAAGGTATGCCCGGATCATGTCTAGCTCTTCGCTCGTCACTCCCCGTCCCCATGGGTCAGATGAGAGGAAATCCTCATCCAAGGATAGGTCGTGGACTATGTCCGCGGCCATTCGCATACATTGGACCAGCCGTGAGCTTTTAGGTTTTAGGTGAAACGGATACCTGGGAGCGACGCGTGAGTTGAAGATGCATCGAATTCAGCTTCAGAGATCGACGTACCAGGAACAGTATATCAGGAGGCCTTGTAGCAGTTGAAGACTTCTCTCTCCTCCAGATACATACTTGAGCCCTAAGACTCTCAGAAATTCCTCGTCATACAGCGAGTGCTTCTGAACTGGCCTCGACCTTGAAGACACGGTCAAGATGGCCAATAGAATGAAGGGTTTCGTGGCAGCCACTTGGGTTACGGTTGAATCAGCGGGCAACACTATGAAAGGAATGTACTCGAGCATGGAGCTAAAGTTGCGTAATAGGCTCTCAGCTGAAGCCATGTTGAACTGGGGTTTCCGCCAACTCTCGAAAACGGAGCGAGATTGGGACTGGGTAGACGAGCCTGACTGACTGGCAGAGGCAGATTGACTCGGTGTTGGGAGAAAGTCGATGGGGTCATCTGTATCTAGGACAGTATCAAGGGCAGAATTGTGCAACTCCCGTAAAGTCTCAAAATCATCTTCGACGTGCGACCTGATGGGAACTAGATAGTCAATGCTAAAGGTACTAGGTTGACCAGCTGGTGACTGGCCCGTTTCTGCGGTGCTATATTGCAAGTAAAGAAGGCATTAGAATATCTTGATAGTAGGGGAGAGGAGTGATTCTAGGTTATATGGCATGGGGTCTTACGACAGTGCTCGACGTGACCTGCGGGGCCGCGCTTTGGTACGAGACACGCACTCTCTCCTCGAGGCAAGACATCTAACAGGCGATAAGCATAAAAGAACAAGCTAACATGAATGTAGTTTCGTTTCCGCTCACTTCCCACACACTCCAGGTTGTTCACTGGGCTGGCACTTTGCCTTTGCTGTGCGACAGTGCTCGCATGCGGTCGCGTTCCGCTTCGGAGCTGAACCTCTCTCCATTGCGACGGTGCCTAGTATGGCTATGTCCGAGACCCCTGGCTGAGGGATGGTTAATGAGCTGTTTGGTGAACGGGCTGTTGACGTAAAGTTCTGAAGGAGAGATTCTTGATGGAAAAAGATACGCTGCCGTTGGCGAAGACGCGGGAATCCGTCACATGTGTGGCTGACCCAGAGACTGCTGTTGGTTGTTGGCTCTAGCAATGTAGACTATATCCGGGTGGGTTTCGGATATAGCCTGTGCTGTTAGGGGACTAACTCTAGGCGGTCGTTGTGTTTATACAAGTGTAGATTGATTGAAAACTACTGGACAATTAATCATCATCCTATAATTGATGGTTACTCACATCTTCTTGATCTCATCATTTAAAGGCGGGTTTCTGTACGTCTTTGCATCCTGTCGGTCTTAATGTGCGGTGCGGATGTCCGCTTCGGGCCTATTGGAAAGCATCCAATCGCGCCATGAAATACCCCGATGAAATGTTCCGGGCTGCCATCAGCTTACTCTTCTTACAGGTCATAAATTGTCTATAAATCTATTAATAAAGAGGAGCCCAAACCGCTTCAAAGGGAGGTCTCCTATTAATGTCGAGCCTTGTCTTCAGAGTTTAACTAGCAGCCAACAAGATGCACGTCGTAATGGAATGCGATTGGGCCTCTTCTAAGAGCTGATGTTACGGGCGCCTCGCCTTGTATGACCTGTGCGACAAGCTCGTCGTTTTCGAAATTGAGCACTCGCTGTCTCTATTATCGGCGACTTTCTCAATGTATCGGTTTATTTTGCCGTATGCAGCCATATCAATGGAGGTTTCACGGCTTCAGCGCTGCTAGAAATGGCAGAAGTGTCAAATTCCACGCTATCATGCGAAATATACATGTGCCTCTTTAAAAGAGAAGTACACTGTTGTTTGGGCATGACATAGAACCATTCCAGAACAGGTGCGATGCGATTGGGCTCTGGGGAACAACGTGGGATCCAATTTGATAAATCGCGATTCGATGTCGGCTATCCATGATTTTCTTTGGCGTGAGACAAACACACGATGCTCGGTTGGAGATAGTCGTCGGCAAGAGATAAGCTTCACCACACGCGATTGGGCCAATCTGACAATGTCTTGAACGCATGCTCATGCACTTTACTCGGCGGCGTATGGGCGACGGTTATTAATATCGGCATACATGCCTTATTCTGCATCTTCATCAACTTGTTCAGCTTTTACTCATTCCTCAAGATTACCAATATCAATAGCCAGTTGCATACCATACGGCATATCGCTGATACATGCATCTGCAGTTGAGGTACATCATTGCTTCAAGTATCTGCGGTATATCGCTGCTTCTCATCCAACGCTCATACTCAACACTATTTTTTGCAACAATGGCCCCTAAATCTAAAAGCGGCACAGAAAACATCCACTCTGGAGCCGCAAAATGGACTGGCGAGAAGTTTGACGACAAGGGCAATGTGCTGCCATTTCCGGGCAACACCATCATCTGCCACCTCCCACAGGACAGTGAATTATACAAAACACTTTTACCAATCCATGAAATACTCCAGAAGAGCAAATTCACCAAGTTTTACACTCTTCTGCCGCCGCCGAGCTGGCACATGACCGTCTTTGAGGGTGTTTGCGATCACCGGCGCAAGCGTGGGGTGTGGCCCCAGGAGCTGCCGCTCGATGCACCGCTGCAAAGCTGCCACGATCTCTTTCGCGATAAGCTTTCAACGTTTGACCTCAGTGTTCAGCCTCCCCTGAAATTATCTGTTACAGGACTGGTAATGAGCAAGGCCGGGATTCGCCTCGACCTGGCTGCTGTTGACGACGCTGAAGAGAAACGCCTACGAGGACTCCGTGATCGACTGTCTGATCTGCTGCAAATTCGGGCTCCAGGCCATGAGACGTACGTTTTCCATCTAGCTCTTGCATACAGAATCGTTCCTGTTAGCAAGGAAGATGGCGAGGCTCTCACGATGCTGCTTCAGAAAGGATATGAGACTATTCCTCATGAGTTTGAGCTTGGTGCGCCCGAATTCTGCCACTTTGACGATATGTTTGCATTTCATCGGCAGTTCTATCTTAAAGAGCAAGATTAAGACATATGGTAATTTGTCTTGGGGAGTTTAATTTCTCTGTAATTGCAGCATGGCTTATGATGAATAAAATTTTGCCCTTAATAGTGAACACTCCTGCCTGTACCTGTTTGATCAATTCGTAATCATTAAATTGAGCATTAGTATAACTCCAACTCAAACCTATCGCGTTGCGATATATCCTTCCACAACGTCTCCAAAAATTCCGCGCACGACTTTTCCCAAACAATCCCTTTTAATGCAGACTCAAGTTCATCCTTTGTCCAAACCATAAGTGATGCGCCCAGAGGCTCCATCTTTTCTACAAACCACCATTTCTCATGCCATTCTGACGCAGCTCCATATCCCATAAATAGCACCCATAATAACCACCGTTGTCTCTCTGGATTTGCGTTCCACCACCCTTCATCTTGCATCTCGAGGCCATCTCGCAGCTGTTGAGATAGCTTGAGAAGCAGCTTGGATTTGGTTGGAAGTTCTCTCAAAATGAGGTAGAGGTAGATGTATGCAGCGGTGTTCATTAGAACAGAACTAGACGAGAGATACTCAGCCGGATTTAGAGCTTCGATGAATTCATTTTGAAGATTAAGCAGATTGAATTCTGTTCCATAAATTTGATGGCTCATTGCTGCCCTATCCAAGGGGGCCTCGTACTCTGGGCTGAGAGCTGCAGATATACGCCTCAGAGATCGAAAGATGGAATTTGTTGGCGAGGTCACCCCAAAGGCGCCTTCAGTAGAGACCACCTTGTTTTTCAACTTGGCGGGCAATTCTGCATCGCCCTTTGTGGCTTTGTAGGTGATCTGCGAGAAGGACGGCTTGCATTTCCAAACATTAGAATACGATAAATCGGCCCTAGATAGGTATGTGTTAATATAGTCGGAATATGCTGAGCATATAGTGCAAGCTCACCAAGTGACCACTCCTCTGTGTGCAGGTTCGACACCTTCTATACCTCCTCGGGCCTTCACCATGAGTTCAAGACCCTTCATGTGGATTCTGGCATCTTCAAATTGGCCAGCGAGATTCTGAGCAAGGTGATAGTTAGCAATGAAACAGAAGAAAGACGCGAAGAAGTATGTGCAGATAACTCTTACCTCTCGAGATATTACTATTGATACAGCTGCAATGAGAGTGTCTCTTATCACGCCTGCCTCGAGACCCTCGTTTATCAAACGGAAGGCTTCTCTTCCATGGTATAGGCTACCAGGAGAATCCGTCAAGCCGTATTTCAGATTGTGATCCAGGCTGACAAGATACATAACAGCATGAAACATGGCAAGCTCTTCTCTGACGTAATAGAAGCAATCCGGTGAGAGATTGAGGGCGATGCAGTTGACGGCATATACTTGTTGGTCTGTAGCTCGGGATTGAGTTGATTAGCAACTTGTTCCATGGCAGTGGACTGAAGACGTATGACAGCGAGCGAAATTGGTATTGATGATGACAGAGATCGAAATGCAGAATAGAAGATCAAGTAACAACACTCACAATAGAATATGAACTTCTGACTTTCCGGCCCCAACGGAAATTGGAATGAATCATAGGGATCTGCAAATGCGCCACCTCTCATCAAAAGGTTCTTGTCTGGCATGAGGCTCTGGCGAATTAGCCAGTGGGTGTTCATCAGTTGGACCTCGTTTGCGGAATCTTGGTCTCTGTCCTTCTCTAGTCCTGTTGTGGGACGCTTTGCTTTAGAAGGTTTCTTTTGTTTTCGTGATTTGGAGCCAACTCTGAACTTTCCCTCAAAGATTCGCTGAGGCTTCTCCTTCATGGGGACGGCAGCTGCAGCAGCCATCTCGTCCGTCAGTGTGGGGTGGTTTTGTCTCCAGACATAATTCCGCATCGCCTGGCTGCGAACGATTCGCGAAACATTTCTGTCCGGCCTATCCGTTGACGATCCAGTAATTGTGATAAACTCCAGCGGCTGTACATCGAATTCATCGGTGTAGGTAAATCTCTCGTCGTGTGGTCTGGACGGGAGATTTACTACAACTAGAGTATCCGGTTAACATCCATTACCAGCAACTAATGCACAGGAGAGAGATCTACCATTGTTATGGACGAATCCGGAAGCCCCGTAATTTTTCTCTCCACTCATGTTCAGGCTTTCAGGTAAGCTGCGCTTGGCAGTTGATTGAGGTTGGGATCAGGGTTATAGAGGCGGTATAGTGAGTTGACAATAGTGAAAACAGATGGACATTGATGCAAGAGATGAAAAGACTCGTGTTCCTTATTACCCAGATAGTTAAATGCTCTAAGCGGGTATGATGAATTACGATGGAGGATGCACATTATTAATGTCTAGATCCTAATCAGAGGTTGTCTCTAGTCTCATCACTTGCCCCTCTCGTTTTGGCGCTTGCTTAGTAAAAACGGCACAACGCCCTAAAATAGTTTTGGCAGGATACAAGACTATACGATAATCTTTTGTGTACGGATCTTGATGTCTGAATACGATAGAGCCTCGGTGTATCGGTAGAATATTAACAGTTGGGAACTGCCCATGGGAGAATTCCTTCCGATACAGGCAGGGAAGGTAAAATTACTGGGGGCCGATTACAGTATGCGTAATGTTGGATCCGGAGTATTGGAGAATACCTGAAGTGTCTGAGAAACATACGCCCGAGACAGCTGAGCCCTTAAGGGGGACAAAGACACAGACACACTAAGCTACGGATCACTAGCAGCTTGTCACTTTGTTACCTGTGTATTACTCGCTCAGCAAGCACAGCACCGGGGCGTTATCTAGTGAATATGCATGCACTTATGAAACGACAAGCCCAATTAAAGGCTTCTCGAATGATCACCAGCAGCATGTATGGCGAGTCCGCGCAATTCAAAACTGTGCACATGCATAGACAGCTTCGTATTCATCCTTGCAACCCAAAATAGAAAAGACAAATAAAAAAGAATGGTTATGCCAGAATAAGAGAGAGCTAAGGGTTCAGCTTTGCGACTAGGATAGCCAGTCATAGCTTCAGCTCTATTTGCGACCTTTCTCAGGGAGGGATTCAGCCGTTGCCAATGGCGTCACCTGAGGCGAATGCAAACAATCCGTCGGCGTTTATTGTCACAGCTTCGGCGATGTGCCATTTGCCTAAGCACTAGCTGTGCTCGACTCCATTGGGCTGAGTCGCGCTCTTCCGGTAGATGATTGTTAAGAAGAGAACTCTTGAGTTCTAGAAGTCTCAAAAACACGGCCCAATTCGAACAATGCTAATGCTGGGTGATCCAAACCCTGCAGCAATTTAGTCGATAAGCAGAAGCCAACACTAGTTCTGGGCTAAATGGGGTGGTGTGTGTTGCATGTCTCTTGGCGGAACAGGGGCTGATTAATTCGGCAGCTCAAATCCCGGCCGTGATCAAAGCCATGCGAGTTGAGCTGGCAGGCCAAAGTCTAAATTTCTCAGCATCTCATTAGTGAGCAAAGCGGCGCCTTGGTTTAGCAATGATCCCGTTCTTCATGGAAAGTTGTCACAATAGGAAAATGGTAGTATGTGGATGGTGTATCCATTGGAGTATTTAGACAGAGATAAGGTCGAGGCGATCTAGAACCTCCATTCTTCATCGTTCAAACCAAAGATATAAACAAGCATATCTTTCATCTCAATATTTTATTTCTCGCGACACAACGTCTTGTTTCAGGTCAAAAAGAACACAGCAATGGTCCCCTCAGTCCTTATCATTGGCGCTGGTGGCGCATTTGGAAGGCCTCTGGTGGAAGAATTCATCAAACAAAAGTCTCACTTTTCCAGGGTTGGCATCCTAGCGGATCCCGCCAAAGTGTCCAAGTTTTCCGACGCCGCAGCTCAAGGTATCGACGTTGTGGCTGGTTCCTTTCTGGACCCCAAGTCCTATGAGGGTTTGTTATTACTGGATACATTAGTTTAAGGGAGCGTGGTGGATTGACAAGTAATTAGGCTTTGAAGTCGTTGTGTCTCTGGCGGGCAATGCTATCATGAGACTCCAGCCGGCAATGATCGAATCTGCCATCGCAGGCGGAGTTCGTCACTTTTACCCGTCGGAATTTGGATCAGACGTCGCTCAGGACAGTCTCAAGACGTTCCGCTACTTTCGTGATAAGCGAGTGACTCGCGATCATCTCGCGGCCAAGGCAAAGGAGAACCCGGACTTTTACTACACGCTCATGCTGACCGGCATCTTCACCGAGTGGGCTGCAGATCCATTCTACGGTGTGGATGTCAAGGCTCATGTTGCAAACACATATGGACGCCCAGATGCACAAATCTCCGTGACTTCAATTCCTGAGTAAGTTGAACTCAGTTGCCATTCAGTTCACATTACATAAAACTTGCTAACGGGTAGATTCTTCACTTTAGCATTGCGAGGTATACTGTCGAGTCTATCCTGCTGCCTCTGACTCCCGGAGTTCAAAAGCGCGAAATCCGAGTAACTGGAGAACGGACCACTTGGCAAAAGTTCATCGATGACTTGGGCGAGGTTCAGGGATCCAAGTATAAGTGCACATATCTGGATCCTGCGGAGGCTGCCGCAAAGCAAGACGAAGCCCGAAAGAGTGGTGACGAGGTCGCCGAGCTAATGTGGTCAGTCAAGCCCCTGGCTGCCTCCGGAAACGGAATCGTACCTGGAGAGCTGGACAATGACACATTCTCATTCCGGCCGGAGTCTGTTAAGGAGACTTTCAAGCGCGTCTATGGTTAAAAAGCCATCCTTTAGTAGATAGATAGTCCATAAACGAGTTACGAGGAATGCTATGCATGCATATAGACTGGGTAGTGCATCCTATATTAGATACACAAAATACTATTTCAAGCATATACATCAACATCGGGCGTATGCAACTCATTTGGCTCCAGTGATAATAGAAGATTTGCCAAATATTTCATAGTATCGTCTTCTAGTCTAGTAAGTTCTCAAGAGCTGGGCCAATAACATAACACTCCCTTCTCCTAAGCTAACTGGGCGCGAGATGACTCCTGATCGGGCAGGAAACCTTCCTACTCAGGATGTAGTCTCTTGTGAGCTGAAGGAGCTCATGTTACATAATGGTGTCGAGCATGGCACGACCAATTCCGCCGAAGTACCCTAGAGACTCAATGATTAGTGCTGGGATAATCCCGTACCCCATCTTATGGAGTGAGAAGAGACAGTTCCAGCAGAAATAGTCACTGTGATTGACGGGACATTCCTTGATACAGCCTTTGTAATCTGATCTTGGTGGAGTCTTGAACCAGATTCGATTACAAGACTGGAAATGCTGTGAATACGGATCGGTGGGTCTACAGCTGATAGGGCAGCCTGCCTTTGCATCTACAGTATCACTTGTTACCAAAATCTCGTTTCACATCGTTTCTGACAAATTCACTTGTTCTGTGGATAGCCACGCTCTTCATAACTGCTTACTGGCCCCTTGATTACGTGAATTCTTCTACAAGTCTAATCCGTTCCACAACAACAAGGCGATTTCCTCGGCTTCTACCGTTCGCTAGTGGAGGGCTGACAAGCAACTCTCACGACCTACCCGACTAGGGCGACGCCATGCATTAGCACGGCTCTTCAAAACATTTCCTCTTTCAGAAACCGCTACGCATTAGCCTCGCTCCACAGTCATCTCCAAGTTTTCCCCATCGAGATAACGCTATGCCATGGCGCCTGGACTTTTGCCACGATCCCCACCGGATCATCGCTAGTTGCTGGTCAAACTCTGCATCCAAGAACACGTTTACAAAGGAAGCAACCCAGCCGTTGTTCCATTAGTTACTCAGTCTCTTCTGTTTAACTATAATTTTAACTTCCAACTGACATTTCACGCTATCAACTGGGCGTCTTTGTAAGTCGGATTTTGAAGGATTTGCTAGCTGCTGCTTCTGCGGCAGCTATGACGCCGAGTTCCTACAACTTCTCCTAATCTCGTAAATGCCCAACCTCGTTAGAAATGCATCGATTTGTGAGGCATTGGCTGTCAGCAAAGCTGTCATGGGTCCTTTTATCTTCTCATCAATACACGTCCCCTCAAAATCAGATACCCTCTATCAATCACTCTTATAACTTATTTTAAACAAATCTATAATCCGTCCTACAGCATATATATACATCAACATGAGCGTCACATTCACCGTTCAGCGTGGTTCCAAAAGCGGAAAGATTGTCCAAGACACCAGCAACCGTCAACTCGGTCGCAACGAAGCCTATCTGAAGATCACGCATTCTGGCCTGTGTGGTACTGATGAACATTATCTCCATGCCGGTTTGGCCCTAGGCCATGAGGGTGTTGGTATCGTCCAGGCTGTTGGCCAAGATGTCACTTCCGTTAAAGTTGGCGACCGTGTCGGATTTGGATGGGTTCACAAGACTTGCGGCCACTGTGAGGCCTGCCTTACTGGTGAGTATTTCATACTTCTCCCCGCACAGTTGTTCAAGTGTAGCTAATTGAATGCGCAGGAATGGATTTTTATTGCGCCGAAAAGACAGAGTATGGCACTCACGACCATGATGTTGGCTCTTTTGCCAGCCATGCCGTCTGGGATGCCGACTCACTTCACAAGATCCCCGAGGGTCTTAACAGCGCTGATGCCGCTCCCCTCATGTGCGGCGGTGCTACCGTTTGGTCACCCTTTGCTCTCTATGGCATCAAGGCAACCGACCGTGTTGGCGTCCTCGGTGTTGGCGGCCTTGGACACTTGGCAATCCAAATCGGTGCCAAGATGGGCTGCAAAGTGGTTGTCTTCTCCAGCAGCGAGTCCAAGAGAGAGGATGCAATGAAACTTGGCGCCAGTGAATATCACGTTCTGACTGCGGATTCTTCTCTGGAGGGAATTGAGCCTGTCAAGCATATGCTCCTGTGCGGAAACGCCCAGCCAGATTTTGCCCGGTACGTTCCAGACATGGCACTAAGAAATTCGGTATGAGGTTTTACTAACACATAGATACAGAATGATTCAGCTCACTGCCGTTGGCGGCAAGATTTACAACCTGATTGTCAGCTTTGACGCATCTCCCGTGCCAATGCTGCCCATGCTGGCGAAAGGCATCAGCATCCAGGGCTCGGGTGGCGCTCCACGCGCGGAAATCCGGAAAATGCTCAACTTTGCAGTGCAGCATGGGATCAAGCCTGTTATCATGAAGTGGCCGTTGAACACGCAGGGTGTAGAGGACGCAATGAAGACACTGCGGGAGGGAAAGATGAGGTACCGTGGCGTCTTGGTGGCAGAGGAGTAAATGTTTACAGTAAATAGAGTCCATTAGATGGTTGTCATTATGAGCGGTTAAATACACAATAAAGCTACTTGAATAGTCAATTGATCACTTTAATCCTAATACAACATTGTAAAACTAGAATAAACTATTCATATTAAGAGACTAAGAAGTCAATCATTGATGCATTTGTCCACGACGGCCATCCTTGTACTTTCGAGGTCTTCAGCACTTTAACACCTATAAGTTGGTGGCTACAGACGGTCAAAATTGCCCCGCCATTCTCAACACATTGGTTCAATGTCTTACCCGTACGTGCTATTACTTGATTACATGTACTTGGCTAGCTGTCAATTCTAGCGTGTCCGGTGAACTTCAGTCGCGATAATGACACCTCTGGAGCTTCCAGTTGGTTACAACGTGGCAATATAGCCGTTTCCTGGCATCCGAAAACTGTCTTTGCAACTGGGTCGGGAGCTCCGGGGTGTCTTTGCGCCGTGATGGTGTGCTGGAATGCTGCAGACTAGTTGGAGATGAGCTGTGCCGGTTGCAGCTAGACCTCGACTCTTCATGCGCTAGTGGTAAGGCATTTACTGAACTGAGAAATGAAACGACAGCGTGTGCGGAGTAGGGCGTCATGAATCCTACAGTATGGCTTCTGGATAGGCCATGTGGGTGGTTGTTAGCAATCACGGTGCATGAGCTTGTAGATTGTTAATATATAATCCACTTGTATTACAATTCGTAGTTTGAAGATTGTATTTCTCTCCAGCTTAGAAATTTCGTCATTGCTAAGCAAGTGTTTTTTCCCCCCTCGTTTCTGGTTTTGTTCAAACACATAAGTATCTATATTCTGCCGGTTGCATCAAGTCGCATCATCAGTTTCATCATCGCATGCAATCACTTATACCAAGCATTGCTTCATTAATTTAATCATCGTCTATCTTCAATCATACAACCAACTTCTAGTCAAACAATTGCCCAAACAACATTCAAAATGTCTTCCGCCGGCATCAAAACGTATAGCGTCACCTCGAAAGAGGAATTCTATGGACTCCCAACTTTCCCCGAGGCCGAGGGCAAAAAGTACTCTGCCATTGTTACCGGCGCCAATGGCATTACTGGAGCTCATATGCTCCGAGTCCTGGCTGAGGCTCCAGAGCGCTGGGGAACCATCTATGCCTTAAGCCGAAAGCCTCCAAGTGTTCGCATCCCAGGAAACGTCAAGTATTTGGCCATTGACTTTCTTGCGTCTCCTGAAGATATTGCGCAACAGCTGAAAGAGCAGGCCCCGAAAGTGTAAGTAGACTCTTAAAATCTCTTGAGAAGGAAATAAGATCGTAAGTAGTGACTTTTTACGGTAGGGACTATGTCTTCTTTGCTTCTTACATTCAAGCTCCTCCCAAGGAAGGCGAGGGTGTCTGGTCTGACGATGCGGAGATGGAGCGACTAAACAGTGAGTACATCTTCTAACGCACCATCGCATTTAACCATTCTAACAACACCAGTGCTTCTTTTGTCCAACTTCCTTTCTGCATTGACTCTGTCTCAGAAGATCCCGAAGCGGTTCCTCCTCCAGACAGGTGCTAAGCATTATAGCGTTCATCTGGGCCCCCCTCTAAACCCGATGGAGGAGTCAGACCCTCGTTTCCTTGCCAAACCCAACTTTTATTATCCCCAGGAAGATCTTCTCTGGAAATGGTCGCGTGAAAATGGCACTGAGTGGAATGTCACTCGCCCTCTGTTCATCATTGGTGCCGTGCCCGATGCAGCAATGAACATTGCCAATGGACTGGCTCTGTATGCTGCAATTCAGAAGGAGCTTGGGCGGCCACTTGAGTTCCCTGGCGACACCGCAGCCTGGGACGCTGAGAAGCCCTTGTCATCTGCGCTTTTGATCAGCTACCACGCCGAGTGGACGGTTCTTACGCCATCCACTGCTAACGAAGCTCTGAATATTTCCGATGGCGGCTCTTTCAGCTACGGCAAGTTTTGGCCTGTGCTTGCTGCTGCTTACGGCATTCCATATGGAACTGCAGAGGTCGATGACGACAAGTTTCAAATTGTCGATATGCCCATCTCCCCTCCCCCGAGAGGCTTTGGACCCGCAGGCAGGATTAGAATCGCCCGAAGCTTCGAGGCGTGGGCTCACAAGCCCGAAGTCAGAAAGGCATGGGATACATTGAAGGCACGACACAACTTGGCCCCTAAGCCCGATCCATTTGACAAGGTGCAAGACATCTTTGGCTTGTTGGATGGTGAAATTCTTGGACCTTGGGGAAGGAGCTTGAGGTAAGAGATATCTAACAATACATCTTCTAGAAGATGCAAAAAGCTAACCGGTTGATTTCTATACAGCATGAATAAGAGCCGAAAGCTGGGATGGAATGGATTCATTGACACTCACGAGTCAATCTTTAAGACTTTTGAGGAGTTGGCAGCTCTGAAGATGATTCCACCTTTTGAGCGACCAAAAGCAATTGAAATCAAGTACTATGGCTATTAGGTATCTACCAATGACGAAAAGATGGATGAGAGTATGATTTGAAGATGATACTATGGCGTTTCTTGTCAGCTTTATATAGAATTTGGTCTCCTGAGACTGAATAGAGTACACTGTCCCTAGTTAGTTAACTACACCTTCGTGCGTATTGATAGATGTCGCAACAAGCTGGCCGGCGCTACAAATACCACAACGCTACCAGTCGCTACTATTGTATCAAGCAGCGGCAGATAATAGCCGCGACATAAAGCGGAAATTGGCAGTAGACACCGATGGCAACGTAACGTTGAAGAACAAGAATGAAGATAATTGGCTATGAGTTAATGACTAACAAGGAGCTCACAGCCTCATCGTACCCAATTGCTCTCCCCCCAATCATTCCTCCAAGGCAGATTCCCCGCAGCCGCTACATATTCCAACACCAGTGAGCCTCATAACCAAGCTACATGTACCACCGAAACGGATCACATACGCATACCGGTACCTTTGATAATATAATACTTGTAGTAAAGCACTGCCCAGCCCACACACCGCCTGGGCTATGCGCAGCCATACTGCCGGTCTGCGACATGTATCGTCAATTCTGCAGCTCAATAACACCTTAACCTCAAATCGCTCAGTTTTTTGCGGTTTGTGCCGTCCACCACACAGGACTCTGTGTTAAAGTGTATCTTCTCCGATCGGCACCAGCAAGCAACAGGTCTATAGCTATGCCTTGCTGCTACGGCTTATGAGCGACCTTTTGTCACATGTTTAATGCCTCTCTAGACATCTGGACTTTTTAGTTCGAGGAACAGCTGAACCACTGCCCAGGTATCCTATAGATTCCACGATGTCATATGCGTACGGGTACGCTGTCAACGACATCATTGCTGTATTGGGTCTCTTCGAACGAATAGCGATCGAATTGCGGAACTTTAAGAATGCACCAGCGCACTTCCAACAACTCGGTGCAGAGGTTGATCTTCTGCAAAATGCGATGAGGCATGCCCTTCGCCTCATTCCACAGAATGACGCTCACCGCGACACCCTCGAACGCGTCAGAGCCATTGTTATGCACTGCCTGACACCTCTACAAGCACTGGTTCATAAAATGCGGACCAAGGAATCCAGCCTGGGGCACTTTCGCACATCGAAGAGCTTGAGCCACATTGGGACTCGAATTCATTGGTCGATGATAGCCAAGCAAGATATTGATGAGGTTCGCATTACTATAACGTCGGAAACAGTGGCCATCAACATGCTCCTTATTGCCCAATCATTGTACGAATGTTCATCTATACGTGGTCAAATGGAAGCTGATATTATGGCAGAGCTCAGATAAGACAGCTTACGGACTGCGTTCAGGGTATCGGAGATGCCCAATCAGCACTTATAAAAACCCATTCCGATGCCCTTATCAAGCAGACCTCCTCAATATTGAGCCTAGTATCGACGATGCCAGACACGATCGCTGACCTGAAACTCACAACGATCATGAATGATAAGAAGCAATCAGAGCAGGCACGGATGCTGGAACATGGGCTAGCAGCTGTTGCATCTCATGTTGGCTCTCTTTCACAGATTGGTGTTAAAGTTTCTGGTGCACTCTCTCTGCACACAGCTTCCATGAGGCGCTCTGTCAGGAGATTATTGTCTTTGATGCGAGATATCAAGGAGCTCTTTGTTCTGTAATGTGACCACAAACTATTAAGTGTTCAGATTTACTAATTCATCACCTAGCTTGGCCACCTATTCAAGGGACATCCTGGAGGCTATAGGTCAAAACACGTGGGTTGAATCGCCTCTCAGCTTCATATTTGGGCATACCTCATCGCTGACTTGATGTAGCCGCGCATTACTTAATATAGCATCCCAGATGAAGCGAATTATCCGTGCTATCGAGGCCATTCCACTTCATCTTACTCTTGATATTGTGCGACTAGATGATGCCTTGGGTGAGAGTTGGGCCCTACCAATACAAGCCTGTCAAAGTTGGAAGGTTAGTGATAGTGATTTCCTGTTAGCTCTACGCAAACGCACTAACGCAACAAGTCTTTCTATAATTTGCTTTCAACTGTAGTCTATACAAAGGATCGACCAGGCTCTAATCGAATTTGGACGATGCAATTTGCCCTCACTATGGCAGATGGTGGAACGGAGCTCGAAGAATTCAACTGGGAGAGAGTCATCAAGCCAGGAATTCACATCGAGCAGGCGATGATAGTAACTAGAGTCGGTGCTTCTACAGAGGCTTGTCACGAGTGCAGTGATATAAGCTCAAGGACGCTGGCAAAGCGTCATGGAAAACCATGGTAAGCATATATTGCAACTTAATGCTGGTGATACTACCGAGAAACTAATGACTGCCTCAATAGTTCCACCTGCGGGCGGTGGGTAGGCAGGCGCAAACGCATTGTCGAGCCAGTTGTAAAACTACTTGATACAACAAACACGTTGCCGGACGCAACTTCCGCATTAGGCCCGGAGTTGCCTTCGATGAGAATAGATGAAGAATTGCACCATTTCCGTCGAATCCAAATACGCGAGTCCTCGGGGCCAATTCACGATATCGATACTGCCGAGGCGATATTGAGGACGGACTTCATGGACCCGGTCGCTAATACCTTTCTTGCCCTCCGACTAATTCAGCTCGCAGAGGAGGATGGAGACCCGGAGGCACTTGAAATGGCCATAGAATATTTGGAAGATGCTATTTCTTCAGGTATGTGATTCAAAGCCAATCGGTATTTTTAGCTTAAGACATTTGCCAAATAACCTACCTGTTTTCAGACAGTACGGCTGTTGACCCTTGGTATCTTCTCGCAGAGATATCTATGCTCCAGGAGGACTATGACCAAGCCTCCAAATACTTTCAACAAGCCGTGATCAGGAAACCGCGGTCTCCACAAATTTCGATATCGATGGCCAACATGTATTATTATGTCGAGGAATTCCGCAACTCTCTCGATGCTATCGTTCAAGCTATACGGTTAAACCCGTACTTTTACATGTCATGGTATAATTTAGGCATCTTGGTATGTGATATCATTGATGCTTTGCATTATAAATTGCTTATAGAAAAAAAAAGTATGATGCGTGTGACCAGACCGAAGATGCCTACCTGAGCTTTGAGAGATGCCTACAACTGAATCCGGATTTACCAGATGTCCAGGCGCGGCTTGATGTTTTGGCTGGGTTTAGAAACGGTGAAAAAAACATACCTGATGATTATAAAATTTACGACATGTTGCAGTGCGAGCTAATGGCGATGGTCGATTTATCAGACAATATTGATGGCGCTGAGATCGTGTTCAATCCTATCATAGAAGCGGAAAATAACGAATAAATAGCAATGCAGAATAGGGATGCGCCTTTAAAGCTATCAGATGACAGTATATTAAAGAGCAAGCTAAATACTAAGAGATCATTTTATAAGAAGGAATTATTGGTAGTGGTACTGTTTAGAAGCTAGGCGACGATTATAATTATATCATGTTAGCTGGTAATTAAATACTCTGTAGGCTCTTGGACCTAAATTTATGGATCTTTCAGGTAAAAAGAAAATCGCAGTCTGGGAACATCACATCAAACATGGCAGTAAATATTAAAATAAATTCCAAGTTATAATTGAGAAGATAGCCAATCTAACACAGTTTCAATTCCTTCTTTAAGCCTTAGCAACCTCAAGATACTGGTTCACCAAGCTCTTAACCTGCTCGTCAAACCCAGCCAACTTAATACCAAAGGTCTCTTCAGTCTTCTTAGCATCAAGGCGAACAGTAAGGGTAGGCTGCTTTCCAGTTGTCTTCAGAAGTCCTTGAGAAATCGCTTCAGGGAAAGATTCCTGGATCACCTTGAGACCATTTTCCCAAACCATGCCATCAAGACCATCTCCTGCGGCCACGAATGCCTGGTTGCCTGGAATCTTGGGGTCAAGAGCCAAGACATGAATCTGGGCTACATCATCAAGAAGAACTGAATTGCTGTTTGATGGAACATCGGATTGGCCACCCCGGAGGAAGTTCAACAGGACTGAGTTAGTAGAGCTGGACTCGAAATCCTTAACAGTGGTAGCAAGCTCGTCGGCACCGAAGATCCAGCCAGGAAGAATGCTGATGAGGTCAAAACCGGGCTTGTTTTCCTTGACCCAAGCCTCAGAGTCGTTCAACGCAGCAGCCTTGCTGGCGCTATAAGCCTGAAACTCAAATCCATAAGGGCCTTGGTCGACCGGAATGCGGAAGTCAGCATCGAAGATCTTGTCGTCTCCCTGGCCGAGATAGTAATGGAAGGGAGTGTTTGCGACAATGGAGCTGGTGATAACGACACGCTTAACAGTGCCGGCTTTGCGGCTGCTTTCGAGGAGACCAATTGTCGAGCGGCGAGCAGCCTGAACGAAGAACTCGTCATATTGCTCAGGGGTAGGGGGAGCTTCGCCACCGAAAGTGGGAATGGGAGATGCGCAGTGAATCACATAAGTCGCTCCCTTGACTGCCTCATCGAAGGCGCCTGGGGCTTCCATATCCTCGACAACGACGACGGAAAGCTTCTCTTGGCTGGGGCTCAAAGCCTTGATAGACGGCGAGTTGAGAACCTTGTTGGCCTTGCTTTCGGATCGGACGACGATGCGGACATTGTAGCCAGCTTTGAGAGCAAGGACGAGGACTCTGAATCCCAGGAAACCAGTGGATCCGGTAAGGGCAATGAGATTATTGGCAGCCATTGCTTATAGTGAATGATGTAAATATATCAGAGGTGATTGTTTTTGATGTTTTGATGAAGTGTTTTGTAGATGATGTGTGTGATGAAGGGGTTTTTTCTCTTTCCATTGTTGGGGCTCGTTCGAGTATTTATCAATTTCCTTTCACGACTGAAATCTTTCAGCGCTGTGATTTGAAATGCCGTCAGAGAGAGTCTATCATCAAATTAATCAGCCTAGAGTCTTTACTAAACTGATTCCATTTGCTGTATTCTTAGTTATCTGGCACATTTGTCAGGATCATTCCAGATCGCAGTCTTCATCCAAGTGACATTAGCATCCAGCTAGTGTTGAGTGCTGACATACAAAGACGACGCTTGTGGCGCGAAGGATCGGTGGATCAACTTGAAAAAATTGCCCGATTGAGAAACCGCGTCGCATGGCAGCCAAGCAGCTAAAGTCTCTCTACAGGGGGGTTGAATCCCGCTAGACTGAGCCGAATAGCTCCAAAGGTCTGCAGTTGGGCGAAGTTGCTTCGAGCTAGCAGCAATGGCCTATTTCGGGTTGAAAGAGATGACATTTACTAAACCTACTTCTCGTGCAGTTGCATATCGTCCAAACTAGTCTATTTGGTTGCTTCTAGGAAATGAATCCTTCGAGCTATTTAATTGAATTGGACATTCTATCAGCAAATTCCCTCATAGTAACTACACATCTAGCGCTCGTTTACAACTCTGCTCCTTGGTAACGTTCTAAAACAACTATCAACAACACAACAGCTGCGCTCCGAAAGGCATAAGCGCTAGGAATATGCTCCAAATTGATGTATTACGGTATTATATACGACATTTACGAAACTATATGGGTCGTGTATTATTCCCACGTGAAAGAAGAATTAAGTTACTATTAAAAGATAAAGGACAAGCCGTATAGAAGCATATGAAGTTGTAGCTTAGAAAGTAAATTTAGCTATGAAGCCTATATATAACCCAGACTCAACAGAAATCACCCAACCCATAAATAGATAGACTCGCGCCTGTGAAGAACCCCTGTTTCACACTCAAGCGTCCAGGAACTGGTTGACAAGGCCAGAGAACTGGCCTGCATACTCGTTCAAGAACCCATGTCCCACATCCGGGTATAAGTGGAGATGGGCATCAGCGTTGGTCAGTCTCTTGAACATGATCCAGCTGTTGACTGTGGGGATAATGATGTCATTGTCGCCGTTGGCCACGAGGACGGGGATCTTGATCTCGGGCAGACGGTTGTATGAGCCCTCAGATGCATACTCGGGGTTCGACCAGCGAAGAACTGCGTCAATCTGAGCCTTGGTGCCTTCTGGTCCGACGTAATCAGACCTGTTCTGGCGAGCTGTTGTCATACGCTTCCACCAGTTTCCGCCCTGGGATTGCTTATTGGGCGTCAGAGAGTAAAAGCCCTCCAAGAAGCCGCTCTGTTCTTCTGCATCGTTTGAAGCTGAAGCAAGACGCCCAAATATGACCGGGTCACCACCCTCGATGCCTTCACCAGAACTGGGTCCAGTTCCGGCAAGGATAAGCTTGCGAACAAGCGTGGGATGGTTGAGCGCCACCATCTGAGCTGCAAAGCCGCCCATGGAAAAGCCCAGCAGGTCGATCTGAGGGATGCCAAGCGCCTTGACAACGTGGGCCACATTATCAGCCCATCCGGCATAAGTGCCAGGGACTGTGCCGTTGCTTTTGCCAACGCCGGAATTGTCTAGAAGGATGACTTCGCGGCTAGCCGCAATGGGATCAACCAATTCGGGGTCCCAGTGGTCAAATGTGCCTCGAAAGTGCTGAAGAAACACTAGAGGAGTGGTGTTTCTGGCAGGTGAGCCAAAGCGAAGATAGGCAAATCGCGTGCCGTTCGCCTCGACGAACTGAGGCTCAGCAGTTGCGTAAGATGCCATCTCGTTGTTGATGTAGTTATATAATATGGATGGACGATAGAAGAATAATGTGGTTGACCTTGAACGAAAAGTATCTCAATGCTGAATGAAGTGTTGACTGTAGAATGAATTGTGATGACTGTACTCGGTGGGGGATGCTCGACATCTTATAGCCATGAGTCTTTACAGGATACAAGAATTATCAATACACAGGTCTATACTGCGAGCCTCCATTCGATACTATTCACCACCATTACAGCGCTTACCAACCGAGCTAAAGACCCCCATGACAAAGCTACTCGTGCTGAACCATCCAGTTCTAGCAAATGCGCGACTGCAGTGGCGCAATCCTCCCCACCGCTAGTAAGTAGGATTTCCTCTTTTCAAAAGCGCTAAAATAGTTTTGACAGGCCACCACAAGGCCACTCCGAGAGGCCAGCAAAGTCCATTTTGCCTTTGACTTTAGTGATTGATATCCTCTTCAAAACAAGGACTACCTAAGAGGTTGATGAATGGTTGTAGACAGGAGGAAGATATTATCAGTCAATGATTTGGTACAGCTTAAGCACAGCACGACGCCCATATCCGAGTACAAGTAAGCAGAGGCCAAAAGTCGACAGCAGTAGGAGCCTTTCTCAGCTCCTGCTGAACTATTGTCTTGTCGGAATGACCTCAATCAATTGATTCACTAGTTAGGTGTTGTCGCTTCTTCATCCTGATAGGCTTCTTAACCTACTGCTGTCAGCATTGTATTTCTGAGCCTTGTTTGCGCCCGACCCAGAACCTCCAGAACCTCACAAATTCGAGCTGAATGATCGCCAACTAAAGTAGGGCGGCTTGCGAGTTTAATATTTCCCGATTCGGTTGCTGCTCTGCATCTAGCCCTACATCTTAAGAGGAAGTAGGTGTCTGGCACCTCCGCTCCAGCTCCAGGCCTGAACGGGTAATAGGTGTCTGGCACACTGCATTAGCCAGCTGTTCGGCAACTACAATTAGCTGCATTTAGCTGTATTTTAGGCGGGCCCGGTTGCGGGTGTTAGCGAAAGGCGAATCCGTTATACTTGATGTCTTCAGCTGTGTAATCAACCTATTGCTCCACACGAAGAACCTCAATATCTGATAATGGTAACTACATGTACGGAGTTAATCAGCACAAAGAGCTCCATTGTGACAAATGTCCACAAGTCATTGAATACGATATTGCGACACTTTCTGTATCCTTCTTTATGGTTCGAAAATACCCGCTTCACTTAAATGAGAAATCGAGTTGTCTATCTACTTTGTAATCCTCAGCGAGCCTCGACCGTAAATACGAGAAGAGCGGAAGACAGTGCTGATAACGTATGCTCGATGCCTTGGACCTAAGGCAGAGTGAGTCACCGGTGTCGAGAAAAAATACAAAGATGTGGCAGCAGACGTGTCCAACACTCTGACAAGTCCAATTATCCTCATACCTATCTATGCAAGCTGATATGCTCAAAACACACTGTTGAAAACAGAAATGTTAAAGCCCAGAGGACTATTGAGGCTTATATTTCAGTACACGCGACTCTAGTACATACGTCCACGAGGAGAGAGTAATTTGGGCCAGACTCCAGCTTTTCTTACACAATGTCTTTCATAAGAGTCATATTAATTCGTTTTGGGGTAATTAGCCAAGTTCTACGATGAGATATTTACCGTTGTTTGGTCTTCTATGAATAATAAAGCAAAAAAAAAAAAACTTCCACCATCCTTGCACTTACTAACACGATTCACCGTCCGTAAAAGTGAGCCGGTGCTGCTCGATGGTGGATTTGTCGATGAAGTGAACAACGCACGTTCCTTTTAGTTAGTTCTCTGATGCTCTTTACAAAAATCGTTCTCTCGTCCTGCCAAGGGAATACGGAGCAAATTGTTCTGGCTCAGGGCCTATTTAAGGCATGCCTAGGGCGGGTATGGATGCTTTGACAGTCGCAAAGTCATGGCTTTGGCGACCTTTCAAAGCATTCCAACAAAGTTCCCTGAACCGCAGCACTCGCGCTCACTAATCTAGGAGTAGGTCAGCAATTTGTCGTTAGCAAACGTGTTGTCTTTGAATTCACACAAATTTAACGGTATGCGAAAACACGATCGAATTGTCAGCGGTGACTATATAATGTTACCCAGGCCCGCCCTTCCTCATCTAGCTCAGCTTTCTAAGCTGCGATGAAGAAATTCAGTTCCTCAAGTTAATCCATATCCACCTCTGACCAGAGCCCTTCAATTGTGTCTCGTACGTGTTCTGGTAAGGGACCAGCCCGAGCATCTTTTACGTTCGACTCCAGTTGGTCAATACGCTTAGCACCAACAATGACTCCATCACCATCACCCAGTGCCGAGTGATTGACAATCCAGCGCAACGCCGCTTCCTGAAGCGTCAATGGCGGCGAGGTAGAATCACAAGCTCCTTTCAGTTTGCGAATGGCGTCATGCATGGCGGGTCTGTCGTACTGTGACACATATTGGTCCATAGCACTTTGGTCCCTCCATCGCGTACGGTAGGCGGTGCTGTCAAACCAAAAAGATAGCATATAGATTGTCATCAGACTTTAAAGTCTTCTTTCTTCAGAGAATGATGATGCGCCTAGCTCCTATATAAGAGTCAGTACAGTTAGAAAAAGACCCTATCATTGGCCGGTTGTCCGTGTTGCTAATCGAGAGATAAAAGAGGGAATATTCGGTATTTGGCGCATCCGGCCGATTTTAGGCCCAATTATTAGTAAGGATTCAATCATGGATCTGTATTACTGACCTCGGATGGAGTAACGCATGTGGACTGCCGCCCCATGAGGCGGCGGAGGTAAGGTTGTGCGTTCGCCGCCCGGACTTAACCTCCGACCAACACGATCTGAGTCAACTGGAGATATGATCAAGACTATCGAGAGAAGTAGAAACCTGTCCAGAATCGTAGAGTAATAGAACAGATAAATAGTGTCCAAAAGTCGGCTTAAGACATGCGACTTCTTCGAGTTCATTCAGCAGCACGAGATTCCATACATACACTCAGCTTATTAGCCACTTAACTGGCACCTACCAACAAAATGTCGTATCCGACTATTACCCTTGAGGAGCATTTCCTTTCTAGCAATGCAATCGCAGCTTTGCCAACTTCTCAAAGCAAAATTTACACCAAAGTAAAGCCCGCGTGGGCTGAACAGCTCTCCGACGTTGGCCCAAATGGTTCCCGCATCAAAGCCATGGATAGCGGACACGTTGGCATCCAAGTGCTTTCTAATTCTTTTGGCATCACTTCATTGACGCCAGAAGTTGTAGCGGCAGCTAATGATGAATTAGCAAAGGCGTGTAAAGCCCAACCACGCTTTAGAGGCTTCGCGGCATTGCCAATGAAACATGGTAAAGCTGCTGCAGCTGAACTTGAACGATGTGTCGAACAGCTGGGGATGGTTGGTGCGCTCATTGACAGTCATCTTGATGATGGCTGATATTACGACGATGAGGTTGCTTTGGATGCTTTTGCTAAAGCCCAAGAACTCGATGTTCCAATTTATATACATCCCACCACACCACTTGAAGATGTCCAGGCGGCCCTTTATGATGGAAACTACGATCAAGAGATTGGGGCTGCGCTTGGAATAGCCGGCTGGGGATGGTATTGCGATATAGCATTATCTGTGTTACGAATATACGCTGCGGGCATCTTCTGGGAGTTCCCGAATCTGAAAGTGGTAGTAGGCCATATGGGTGAAATGTTGCCATATATGATGGACCGCATAGATGAGAAAGTGGGACAAATTTGGCTGAAAGCCGAAATGAGCTTCAAAGAGGTCTGGGAGAGAAACATCTGGGTCACTACCAGCGGAATGTTTACAATGCCACCGATGGCATGTCTGCTGCGAAGCACGAGTATCGACAGGATCTTGTATAGTGTGGACTACCCATACTCAACTACGGAACAAGGTAAGGCTTTCATGGAAGAGCTTCGAGAAAGTGGTCTGGTCACAGAGGAGGGGCATTCCAAGATTGCGTTTAAAAATGCCGAGAGACTCCTCAACTTCAAGATGTAACGAGGCAGAACTACGACGACAAGATAGCTACGGGAGTCAATCGATGCCCAAAAGATTTCATCCTTTCATCAGACCCTAGCAGTCATTGTGTACATTTTAAGTGTGAGATCAACGATGTGTGTTAAAATCGCAATTCCATAGGAACAAAGGAAAAAGCCGATGAAGACACCAAAAGTGATAGCAGGGCCTTGGAAGAGCTGTCGGCGCACCCATGCACCAACATCATAAGCGAATAACCATTCCCCTCTCATTTTTCTTGCTTCACGCAGACCCAGCAAGCCGTCTATGCTTCGGGCATTTGACTCCTGCAGGAATGGATCCAGCTTGCCCTTTTTCACAATTGTGCCTAGCATCTTTTCTAAAGTCGGCCGGTCTTTGTAGCATTTGCGATTTTCCGATCGTTCTCCCAAGTGCTCTGAGTAGTTGACGCGCTCGAGGAGAGGCACGCCGTAGCCGCAAGAAGTTTGAACCTGGTGCCGAAAAGTTAACACCTTTCTTGTACTAGAGTAGAGCACCCAGAGATGTACTGACTTTCAGTATGTCAAGCATGATGACTGCTCTTATTCCAGGAAATTCCTTCTTGCCCATGGATTCAATGAGGCCTGGGAATTTCGGATCCGTTCGTTGGATAACAGTACCAGTACAAAAGAGTCGCATTATTCGAGGCTTTTCATCCAGACTACAAAACATAAGCGTAATTCTCTTGTTCTCATATACATGGGAAATCATCTCGATCCCTGTGCCGGCGGAGTCCATGTATGCCGCATGGTTGGGATCAAAGATGTGAAAAGTCGCATCTAAGAGGCCTTTCGGGGAAACATTGACGTGACGACCTCTGAGAGGGGCCGATGCTGTAAAGAACACTTTCTGCTGCAATGCCCATTCTCTGAGATCTTCGGGGAGAGATTCGTAATAGTGAACCATGTTTAATACTTTGCATACGGCAGCGAAAGCCTAACGAGTAACAGAGAAACTTGATGAGGCGGTTGGGGATGATGCAGCGGGGGATATGGAGCATTAAATACTTCTTAGATGCTTACAGGCGTACACTCTTATTACATAGGTATGTAACCCAATGGTAGATTTGGGGACTTGCATCGCTACTCTGTAATTTTCCTGGCATGGTGTTATCTGTCTGTCCGTAATAGCCGCCTAGACTTCATGGAAACGATGCTTGGACTGGATAGAATTCTATAGTCAACCTTATGGCAAACCATCTAGTCTACTTTATAATCCAATTGGGCTTGAAAACATGTTAAATCTAGGTATGAATAGGCATAAGGCTCAAAGAAATACTAATTTACATAATAGCTTTGGGTGTAATGTACCAACACTAATGCCAACGCCGCGGCGAGAAATGCCAAAATGAAACCCAAACTGTGTGTGCTAGTGACATATCTGTGGCTCTCACAATCTTTCTTCAGTGGCTTTGGACCTACAGGGTGTGAGATGGCTGAGCAATCAACTTCCCCTACGTAAAGCTTTTTAAGAAGTCGGTCCGCCTTTTCTGAATGGCCAGCATCATCATATTCCTCCGTAGCGTCGCAGCCACCAACATCAGTTAAAATCTCTTCTCCACCGCTGATGGTTATTTACTTATCAGTACCGTACGCGAAATGGCAGTGAAGCTTAAAAGAAGCTCTTATATCACTCACGGATGTTTTTTGATGAAAGTTGAAACATCGTAGACCTTTTTATGGATGATCATGTATAGATCTGCCTTGGACGCATGCTTGGCAACTTCTTCAACGCTAAATAACTTGGACATAGTGGCAAAGTAAATGTTTGGCCTGGAACAATAGAGCAACGTGGAAGGAAAACGCCAGTGGAACAGAAATTACATTTTTCCAACATCTTTCTGTCACCTTTTGTCTTCTACTGGAGAAACGTTCAGCCTCTCTCCTTTTCTCATATCCCATTCCAGGCGGAGTCAAAGTCGACAGCGCTCCAGGTTGAAGGTCCATGATGCATGGATTTTGGCACATCACCGTCCGCGCAATACGAGAAGATTCGTAGGTCAGATAACCCCTTACGTTTGTTGTAGATGAACCCACACATGTAGATCAGCATCAAGAAGCGGCATTTAGTTCAAAATTATAAGTTTTGACGCTAAATACCGATGTCGATTGGAGTCGAGGCTCCACAAGTTGCATAAAAAGTAACATCAAATGTCGCTTCAATGTCAAACTTGAGTCAGTGTGTTCCTATATCGTCGAAAATGCCACGGTAGTATTCCGAAAATTTCCTCCGCGGATTTAAGCATTTAAACCCATCTTATTCAACCTAATGTCGGCAAGTAAGGGTGATGATTCGGATACAGAGCGGAAATGGCTATTTTGATCTGCTAATCGCACGAAATGGCTACCGGCAGATTATCGCGGGCTCGGCAACCTTGTGCCGGGAACTTGAGCACATGAGTAGTAACCAAGCTTGTAGCAGCCAATGATATCAAATACTTTTCAAATGTCACATATTCCAGAGACAACGTCTCACCGTTTGCCTCTCAAGTACCTGTTTTGTTGCATTTGGACTTCAATGACTGTATCAATTTATGCACTGAGGTATAGAAGGTACCTTTTCTATAATAAAAGATAACAAAAGTACTTGAAGAAACAGGAACAATTACTCAAAACCACTGTGATGTTGGTATCCCTTGCTGCATCTTTGTCACATTTCTCATCGTCACCCCTACCTCATGCAACCCGACACCTGAAGATTCACATTCCTGGCACGGATGGGTTAAAGGGTTTCGGCTGTGGTGGCTTTGCTGGTGTTCCTAGAGATGAATCAGGTAGTAAACTCGTAAATCAGGAGACAATGGTAGAATTATTGAGTTGGATACTTCGGACTTGTGAAAAGGATGGTCTCGAAAGATGACAGGGAGAGCTTAACTTCGGTTTATAAAAGGGCTCTATCATGCTGGCATTTTGGCTTCTTTCTTTAACTCAATCAACAATCCATTGTCCTCATCGAGCTGAATTATACAATCACTTCTTTTTTTTCAATTTGAAACCTCATCATGTCTACAGCAACGCTTCATGTTGGTATCATTGGCGGTGGAATTGGGGGCTTAGCAGCAGCTATTGCCATAGAAAGATCCGGCGCAAAGGTTACTCTGTTGGAGGCGGCGAAGGAATTGGGAGAAATTGGGGCAGGCATACAGGTAAGTTGAGATTTCATACCTAACACCCATTCAAGCTTCTAATGTTTGTCACACAAAGATGTATCCAAACATTTCGCGTTTCCTTATCCGATGGGGTGTCAGTGATATCTTAGGTAGCCAACTTGTTACTCATAAGTACTGTAACACTTGGTTTGGCTCAGAGCTTGTTGCCCACTCTGATCCACAATGGATGGCGAAGGCCACGGGCTTCCCATGGTGAGTGATGCTCAAATTGAGTTGGATAAGAAACCGTCGTGCTGAATTCTTTTAGGTGGGTCGTGCGCCGAGACCATTTGCTCAGTGCTCTCAAAGAATCTGCGGAGAAACACGGCGCGGAAGTTATAATTGCGACCAGAATCGTTGAAATTGATGATAGCGGCAAAAGAGTTGCTGTAACCTCAGAAGATGGACGAAAATTCTCTTTTGACTTTGTGGTAGGGGCTGATGGGTTGAAATCCATCATACGGAACCATATCCACCCTGGCGTCATGCCGGTTGCGCCCTCCAAATCGGCAGCATACATTGAGAATGGGTTCTTTATCTCTATTATCAGGTTCAGGTTCACTTGAAAGCATGAATTGAAGGAAAGGAAGAAAATCCAGTGGCTACAACACTTGCCTTAGACAGTAGTGGCAAATTGGAAACCCCCGGTCACATTTCTTCTTGCGCGTTCGGCAAGTTTTGCACGACAATGGCGATTTCATTCCTGAAGTTCTTACGAAAGTGAATAATTTAATGAACAGTTGTAGGTCGAATACGATCACAGGAGCAACTGACTTACATGCGATTCTTAAGCAGAAAATGAGATGAAATAAATGGGCGGCACCCTCATCATTTCTAGGAACACAACGTAACACAGCTATGTGCCGAGTGCCGATACCATACAAAATGGCCCACTCGATCCTTTACGCAGATCGCTGTGGGTTGGATAGGTTCGGCTACGGACCAAATACTCCAGCTAGTCAAGCCCCAGGCAAGTCGGTCGAGTTCACGAACAATTTCCTTGTATTTGAACCCAATTAGCTGACCTTCCATTGAAGCGTTTGGTAGGTTCAATTATTAGCTCTTACATTCCTTCTGTACAATTAAACGTGGACTATTATCTGAGTGGCTAGCTGCACGATTTACACTGTCTAGGTAGTGTTAGCTTTTAAGGTCACAGATAGCAATTATCCCATCATATACCTGTTTCATAGAGCACAACAGGAGGGACAATGGTGACCGACATAAATTATAACAGTCTTTTACAAATTTATTTGCTATCTAGGTGTAATTGTATTGGTGCTTACATTCTTTGGATAGACAGTATAATAAGTTTGATGTCACCGCTCAGGAATGCAGGTCAGCACTTCGGTATTGTATAATTCCAATTCAATGGGTTATCGCTCTCTCTCTTACACTGTACTTCATCAACACTTCTTCGATAGAATAACAATACAAACCGCCAGATTCATTTGAGAGTCTCAATTTCGGTATGTGCATTAAAGCTAATATTCCTTATCTAAGTTGATGGTATTGTAGATTCATACAACCATGCGTGGTGTAAAAATCGAGGCTTACTTTGCTCTCCCACAGGCCAGTCTCTGATCGGCGGATTAGTAGGTTATGGATCTTCATTGGCGAATACCGGATACTGTATTATTTTATAGAACTCTTTATCGCATCTTGAGAGTATAGTTTTCTATGATAGACAATGTGAAGCTGGAGAGTTTCTACGACAGTTCGAGCAGTTTACATAATAGTCGTTTAGCCTAAATTACCTAGGTACGAGCGGCATCTTTGTTAAGGTTAACCAATGTTAATTCCGAGATTGCGCCCTTTGAAGACGCGATGGAGTCATACCTAGTGACCGACTTTCGGCGTCAACCGTTTCTTTTTAATAATCTGCCTTGCCGTGAAATTCTGTCGTTAATTGCTCATACACTCATTACCATAAAGCCTTTTTTTTTTTTTTTTACACTGTTAATACTATGTCTGCCACCGTCGTGCTTGAACTAACCCACAATCAACGCCATAATCATCAACATACTAATGGTGCTTCGACTCAGGCTCAAATAGTTGGCGATGTCTCGCTTTTACCGAACCAGCACGAAGCAATAACCACAGCAACTACTCAATCCGAACGCCTGCATACTGTTCGGTCCAGAACATCAAACACGATCGATAGTTCTAGCGATGAGATACATGACCAATCATCTCGGCTACCACTTCGGCGCCTCATTCCGGCATATCTATGTCTCTCAATTATCTACTTTACCTCTTCGCTGGACATCAATTCGGTTGCTCTGGCTCTTCCAAATATCGCCAATGACCTCGGCGCTGGTAGCAGCATTACCTGGGCCGGAACGGCGTATTTGATGGGCCAGGCTGCTTTTCAGCCTCTGTACGGTCGATTATCCGATATTTTCGGCCGCAAACCGCTCTTGATGCTCTCCGTCGGGTTCCTCGTATTTGGCGACATTCTGTGTGCCAACGCACACAACCCTGCTTGGCTCTACGCGTGTCGTGCCATAAGCGGCATTGGCGGTGGTGGCATCAGTTCCATCATTGCAATCATCGTCAGCGATCTCGTGAGTCTTAAAGACAGAGGCAAATACCAGGGAATGCTTAATGCTTCTATTGGTGCTGGATCAGCGGTAGGACCATTCATGGCGGCAAGTTTGATACAGAAGACAAAGATTGCAGGGGCTGCGAGTTGGAGATGGATCTTCTACATCCCCCCAATCCTAGCATGCGTTTCTGCAGTGGCTGCCATGGCTTTTCTACCACTAACGTCTGTCACGGGAAGCTGGAGGGCCAAGGCAAGACAAATCGATTGGATGGGTCTCGCAGCATCCCTGGTAGCGCTTCTTTGCATTCTGGTACGCAGAACTATACTATCACACTGGCTGCAAAATGTTCCTGCTGACGAACAAATTTCGTACTATTAGATACCTCTCAACCTGGGCGGAACCTCCTGGCCATGGCGCAGTCCCGAAGTAATCTCCCTTATGATCGTTGGCGGCTTTGCAGTGGCTGCGTTTACCATCATCGAGAAAAGATATGCGCGCATTCCTCTCATACCTCTTCGGCTCTTCACCAACAGGGCCACCGCCATTCTTCTCGTCCAGAGCGCTTTCTATAATATTGTGTGGCAAGTAGACATGTATTTTTTACCGGCATATTTTCAAGATGTTCGAGGATATAGTCCTCTGCAGGCTTCTGCGCTGATGTTGCCTATACTTTTGTTTTCAAGCGTCTCTGGTGTTTTGTCCGGACCGGCCATGACTATCTTCGGAAGGCAAGTTAGACGATTAACATTCGAGTTGTTTATGTTGAGTATACGAATGAGGCTGATAGAGAATAGTTATGACTACGTCTACCACCCTGGCATAGCCTTGTGGCTGTTGGGTGCTGGCCTGAAAATGTTGTTTCGCCAAAACACCAGCGTTGGGGTCTACTTGGGTGCCTTACTAGTTGAAGGCTGGGGTATTGGATGTGTATTTCAGCCAGGTATAGTCGATTCGGTCATATATCTACTTCATTGTGATGAATTTATCGCGATTGCTCACCCCATTTAGGTCTCGTTGCCCTCCAAGCACATTGCCCACCTAAGGATCGAGCGGTTGCGACCTCGACACGGAATCTCTTCCGAATGCTTGGATCCGTTATTGGTATGACAATCGCAACTGCTTTGCAGACTGCGATCACCCAATCGGCTCTACCTGACAATGTCCCAAATACAGTTCTCTCGCAAGTGGCGAAAGGAGTATCGCGATCCGCTTGGGACCAAGACATATTGGATGCCAAGTTTAAGGGGTTCCAAGCCGTTTTTGCATTGGAAGTTCCATTCATGGCCCTATGCCTACTCGGTTGTTTCGGTATACCAAGTGCACCATTGGTGGGAGATCACGATAACGAACAAAGTAGCACTAGATGATGCACCAAGAGGCCTGTATATATATATAGTAATGGCAGCGCCGTACGAGGCGATACCATGAGAGAGGCACAAGCTCGTCTTTGTCATAAATGAGCGAAATAGCCTCAGATGGCTATTGGAGCACTGATAAGCTGATGATTAAATGGAGAAGTCTCTAAGAGAGGCTATACACCAAGAGCGAGATTCATCGACAAAAGTCTTTATTGAAGTGTTCTATACTCAGAGACCGTAATAGCTTAGAGCTATATAAGACTTTTCATCTACTCTGCGTAGTAATTTTAGCTACTCCTCAGTCTCAGCATCCTTCTTAATGATCGTAAAATAATTCGGCCGGTATGGCTCAGCGGTATCGGCATCAATATTATCCTTCTTAATAATACTGAAATAGTTTGGCTTATATGGCTCAGCAGCGTCGGCCTCAACGCTGTCCTTCTTGATGATGGTGAAATAATTTGGTTTGTATGGCTCAGCAGCATTGGCATCAATTTTCTCCGTCTTTGGTACTGTCTGAAAAATTAAGGTCAGTGTCGACCTCTCTCTCAAACCCTGAATTTTACTCACTGGAGTTGGTAGAGCAGAAGCGAGAGCTGCGAACAGAGTTGCGCCGACGAGGAGAACGTTGTTAGGCTTCATTGTGGTGTATATTGGGGTTTGGGCCCGAGGAAATACTTCTTGGCGATTGAATCAATGGGGTATGGAGAGCAAATTTGTATACATCAAAGAAAATAGACCCTTTATATAGTTCGCAGATGATATATTTCAAGGATAACTCTCTCATTCTGAAAAGGCAGTTTTAGTGTACCCCCGCGCTTCTCTACCTTAAACTACCTATGGAGCAGCCGTCCAACCGTCTATCCTTTAGCTCCAGCCAAGAAATCTTCATCTTTTGCCCCCTCTTGTTCGTCTCCATCTTTACTCGTATTTTTGGCACCTTCCTGATTAATCTACAGAGTATGCCGTTTTAAACCAGCATATCCATGATGCCCAATATTCTGAGCTTCACGCCATTGCACTAACACGAACTAATTAACGGGATTAGGACTTCAAGATAAAGGCGAAGTAAATGCTGCGTAAATCCGTATCAATCACACCGCTCTGGAGTATTTTTCTGGTAGCTTGCCCTTCCATTCTTCAGGCTTGGGGACTCATGTCTCCAAGGTCAAGACAGCTACATGTCCTACAGCAAAGGAGATCATATCCAGTATGGCCTTTCTACGAGATTTGCATCATTACAAGTTTCATCTTACTCGCCTGTTTTGTTCTGAAGAAGAGACGGCCGAAGATGAAGAGCTTTTGCACAAAGAAGATGATAAAAACAAGCGCCGCTCACGCTTAAGCGTCTCTTACATAACATGCCTCAACGTTATTATCTTCTTGCTCTCTTTATCACTGTTCTCAATCTCCGTTTATCGGCTAAGAGGGAGGCTGAACGGAGAGCTTCGAGCATCTTCGACTTGGAGTAAGTGATAAAATCTCTTGTCAATTAAAATTCTTTGAGTCTTACTACCTCTATAGGCCCCATTCATGATGCTCTCGACCTAGAAATGGTGACAAAAAGGATCAACGGGACACTTTTCACGCCTAGTGAACACTCCATTGCACGTCAGATGCCCAACTCTGCTGCAGACGCGACATGGGAGGAATGGGAACTTACTCGTGTTTTTCCCGTTACCCGTTCTGACATTATAAGACTTGGAAAAGATCCAGAAACAGCGGTAAAGCTTGATTCAGAGACATGGGGACTAGGCGACGACGCTTATGCCACTGCCTTAGATATCTATCATCAGCTTCATTGCGTTAATACTCTCCGGCAGATTGCGTACGGGACCTATTATAACGTGCAAATGGGTAATCCTGATGGTATTAATGCTACGCTGCGCGAAATGCACATCAACCACTGCGTTGACATCCTGATGCAGGCGATACAATGTAGTGGAAATGCAAATCTCATCACATTCCATTGGGTCGAGAAACTACAGCGTCCCTTTCCAGATATGTAGGTTAAGACTCTTTTCTTCGGATCTTGGATTTTGCTGATATACCCTAGGTCTATCGATCGGAAGTGCATCAACTTTGACAAGCTCACCGATTGGCGCCTGGCAAACACCATTGACATGAAGAAATGGGCAGAGCATATGAAGAAGCCAAATGGAGTGAAAGAAGAGAAAATGGCAGATCAATATTACGGTCCGAATGACTTGCAAAATCCGAATCATCATGGTGGGACACATGAAGATGTCGACCTATGGCCTGAGCGGGATTGAGTAGAGTGAGGGGAGTGGCAATAGTCTAGCTAGGCTGTATGTTGAAGTACGGAATTATTGAATGGGATTATTCTTCTGATATAGATTACCATGATAATTCCGCAATTATTGACAGACACAGCATTGTTGAGAGGGGTCACGGATTAATAGGGGACAAGTATCGAGCACCATCTCGTATAGACAAAGATTCCATGCATTTATGCCGCGCCAAGTCTTTGCCAAGAGCCTGGTGATCACAAAGTCTATTCTAGGCAAACGACACGTTTCTGCCAAGATGAAGTATCCTTATTCCTTTAATAAACTGTTTATAGTTAGATCAAGACCTTTTGCTGGCGTCATTTTTATGTATACCGAAGGCAGATATGACCTGATATTGAGATTACGTTACAAGGCTTGCTAAAAAATACACGATAGCTCTAGTGCTTCTCCAATCTTCTTGACATGTGAAGTGCAATTTTGCATGAGGTACCGCGCGGTTGCAGTTCAATAGAAGCGTGATTTGTTATTAAGAGGCTATGAACCGGAAGACTCGGTTTGACAGCTACTGCGTACCATGATTCTATTATAAAACGTAAAGTAAAAATGAAAGTTATACTACAATCTTCAAAATGTATCGCCGTGCTTACTTTTAGTTCAATGAATGCTTTTATGACTCGGCGAAGCGACTGCGGGCTCGCAGCTTGGGTCCGAATTTCCAGAGCCCAAACAGTAAAATGCAGCAGATAATGTCCAAAAATGCAAGCAAAGACACTCCCCAGTGTATTCCCAGGTTAACAAACATTGGTCGCGAGAACATGATGGCGGCGGCTGCGAGCGTCGATCGGGCAAAGTCATTTGCCGCAAACAAAGATGCTGAGTATTTCGGATAGGTGAATGCTAGATACTGAAAGATACACGCAATAATGGTGAATGTGCCGACAATGGACATCGACAGGCCTATAATGGAAGCAATCCAGTGAACGCTTGGGCGAGCCGTCCATGCTGTCGTCACATGTTAGCACATTACTACTTGATCCTTCTTATCAAAGTCACATACCGAAAAGGAACAGGCCTGCCGGAAGCCAAAAGCATGCAAAAAGTGCCGGTACCAGGCGGTTCTCTGGAATTCCAAATGCCTTGAACCCTTCGGTTTGAAACGGTTTGACGACTTGGTAGTGCCAACCCAAGACACACAAGGTGCATGCAACGAACAATCCTGGCAATACGCCCAAGAACGGGAGTCCGGAAACAGAAAAGTCAAAATGGTACGTTTCGGAGAACACAATGGGAAAAGCCTCAAAGAAGGAATAAAAGATGGCGTAGACAAGGCTAGTGTAGACGGTAGAGAAAAGCACTGAAGGATCAAGAGCGTTGATTTCGACAGGCTTGATGATGGCGTTGTACAGGATATCCTTCATCGTCAGATGCTGTTTAGCTTGATCTATCTCGACTTGTGAACGGTATCGCTCGTTTCCAGTGATTCTTCGTAATCGTTTTGCTCTGTGGTACAGAATCGTGGCCGATGAAGTCTCGGGTACGAGGAAGAAGAAGCTAATGAGGATCGGAGTACTGAGCCACAACATCTCCCAAGATACCCAGTGCCATCCTTTGACAGGAGCACTAAAGTTTGAGACGACTGGCGCCAGAGCAGGACCGAACACAGCTAGGTAACTATTAGCATTCGAACTCATTCGGCGTTTCGGAGAAGAGGCTTACTGGCTGCACCCCAGATGATCAACAGATACGGGACATGGATAAGCGGGTACTAAGATTGAATCAGCCGAGATCAAATGGTCATACGCTTAGAGGTACATACAACATCACTCAGTGAAGCACCTCCAGTTGCAAGGCATGGAGCACCTATTAGTTCCATTAGCATCAATGAGGTGTTATCATGGGGGTCGTCATGCAAGTACCGAAAAACCCAGTCAAGAACCGAAGGACCACAAATCCGGGGAAGTTATCCACAACAGATGCCGGGACCCATAGAATGGTGAAAATGAAGAGCGTGATGATATATGGGGGATTTCTCCCAATAGCGGCGATCCTTGACACCTGTTAGCCTCACTGTACCTGAACCTAAAGCGCGGTTAAGCAGATCTAAGTCGGGGGCCTTACTCGCTGAGTGGAGAGAATAACATGGCACCAAGGCCGTCTATATCATAAAGTCAGCTATCGAGCATCCTAGGGAAAGATGGCCTCCACTTACACCCAAAGACGTATAGACAGAGGGCTAATGAGGCCACTTCGATGCTGACGCCGAATCTCTGGACAACCTCGGGAACGGCGCCGACGTAGATGGAGGAGCCAAAGTACACGGCAAAGGAATAAATGCTTCGATCAGTTAGCGTCGTAATTCCTATTGTAACCAATTCGCTAATATTCATTTACCAAATCTGGAATGCGATAAAGCCTTTTTGAAAGGCGCTCCAATTCTGCGGGTTCTCGGGATCATCTAAAACATGGTTATTTATTCATATCCAAAACAAACGGATATCAAGGTGGCTTAGAAAAATGTGTAATACCAGTGGTGTACCAATCGACCACTATCATCCCGTCGCTTGTTTGCGTCGGCTTAATAGCGCGGCTCTCCGTTCTATGAGCCTCATGCTGACTTTGCATAGTAACCACCCTTTCAATAGGGTTCTCCGTGTTGTTATTATCCAAATCTTCATCGGATCCAGAAGTTGTAACATCCCCTGTAGCATTTCGATCGTCTTGTTTCACAGAACCTAGGGTGGCAGCATCCTCTAGGCCAGCATTCGAAGTCGTAGATTGTTCTGCCTCGGCTTCCTTTGGGAAAGGATCGGAGCTGTAGTAGGGGTGCGTGAACCCTTCTTGCTCTTCGGGATATCGGAAATACGTGTTTTTGGTGACGAATCGGACAATCTGCCCAAAGGGCGAGTCACGTACCATTCCGTACATTGTGGGAAAGTTGTTTGGGTTGTTTAGTTGTTTAGTATGGGGCCGCAAACCCATTGTAACAAGAGGCCATGGTTCTTTATATGTCCTCCTCATCGAGCTGACCGGCACGCCAGCTTATAAATTTTTTTTCTTTTCATTTATTCTTCCATTTCTTTCAAACTCAAATTTGTAAGCCTATGATGCCTGCCACGACCACAATTAATTACCAAAGAAGAATATGGTGGACATTGATGTGTCCAGTGTATCAAGACCACGATTTTAGCGCAACGCCCAAAATTGCCCGATTAGGATGATGGTCTACACCAAACGGACCATCGCGTTGCCCAGCCTCTGTCCAGCATTCTAGTTTCCACTTGTCAGCCTCGGCCCCTTTCTCACTGATTGCCTTAGTCCCAAGTATATTTTATGGATCGAGCTGTCAAGAGCTCAAACCCATGAGGTAAGCAATCCTCCTCGGTGACTTTTTTTCCTTTTCTTTCTATAAAGATGTTCTGCTTAGCTGTGGCTAATTCTAGACAATCGTCAGTCCACAGCTTCCAACTTGGGCCGAGATAGTATCGTAATTGGCTAAACCTACAAGATTGCTCTCTATGCAGCCGAGGCATGGCAAGTCGTAGACAAAGCAAGGGATTGCAAAAAATATGCGCTGCAAAATATGATCAAGCATTGCTTTCTGATGACCGGAAATACCTTAAAGTAAATAGAGGTAGATCTACATTGTAGTAGATACGTGTACTCGTAGAAGAGATGCCGCTATGTTAGCCGGTGCCAAGAGTTGAAATGACAGAGGCACTAGGTAAGCGGTAACCCAAGTCTGTTTGATCCATCACTCCACTACGATTAAAAATGCACCAGCGGTTCCACGATATTTTCAGACGACTAATAATTGCTACAGGCCAATGATATACCGACAGTGAGCTTGATTTCTCCTTCCGCTGTCCAATGTTAGTCTTCTCTTGCAGTAGCTTATTGGCCATATTGGGTACAGGAGCCACATCGACCGTGGCTTAGTATCCGTAGAGAATATGCCGCAATACTAGGGACCGACAGAAACCGCCTTTTAGTGACAGCTGGTATTGGTAAGGTTTCTGTTCAAAGTTTTTATTAATGCAAAGAGAAAGACATCGACACTCGAGGACCCGATGGAATTGTGCCGGACGAGCCGTATGGCATGTTGTAAACTTTGGAAGAGTACCTAATGTATCCCAGGTGCCAAGGTACAAATCATGGAAGTACTTCAAACTCAAAAGTCTCCGGCTGATGACTGGGGTTATCGATCACTGGTATTTAAAATATGTCATGGCACATCAGGTTGACGCTATTCGTAATTTACTAATTGGTCCGGGGACGGACGACTAATGACGCTGAAATCAAACCGACCAGTATGTGAATATGTCAATAGAAATCTCCAATGGATTACTCTACTACGAGGCTACCGGTAGTCCAGTCGGTGTTGGATGAAGGGGTCGTATCGGTAGCACATCGAGACGATTTCAGTCCCGCGGCATTCACTAAACTTTTTCAGCATAACGGTGGTAAAGTCTAAGACTATGATTGCCAATTTATGAATGTCTATCGTAATATTATACACAAAGAAACAAATCTCAACAGCCAGTGAGAGTCTGGCACTACATCATCCACACTCAACTCCCCCTATTCTCAAAAGTTCCAACCTTCGCACCATTTTCGCATTAGCTCCGGCGTGATAGGTTGCAAGGCAGCAGCCGTTTTGCTCTTGGAGGCTGTACGCGTCATGGCAAAGCTGAGCGGAGCCACACCGTTCTTGTCCACTTCGCTCAAACCCCGATATGTGTCGATGAGTTTGACTCCTGGATTCTTGTCGACATTTCCCCCTTCTGCGGCTGATGCTTCGAGCAGTGATACCCATTTATCGAGGCTGACGACTTCCTTGATTCGATCTCCATAAAAGTCTCGCAAGACTTCAACCATTTCGGACCATTGCACCTTTGTAGGATTCTGGGCATGAAAGTAGCCGCTAATCTCGGAGATGGGGACAGATTTCGATATTCCAGCAAGATCAATAAGAATGCCAGCGACATCCTCAGTTGCAACCCAGTCGACATTCTGGTATATGCCGAGTCTCTGTGGAAGGACACCGAGGTATAGCGAACTAGCAATCAAGCTGGGCACAAACTCCTGTGGGTTCCAAATACCATTTCCTTCCTTTGGCCCTGCAATTTGACCAACTCTCACAGATGCAGCGGCCAAGCCAGATTTTTCCACTGCTGCATCCAAGATCCAGCCACTAGCCAGCTTGGATATTCCGTAACCCAGATCCGCCAAAGTCGGGTCTTCAAGACGTCGCTCAGGCACAGGCTGACTGGCCGTCCAGTTGATCGCAGTACCGATGCTTGATACAAACACCAAAGCAACTTTCTTGGATGCTGCGCCAGCAAAGTCAACAAAGTGGCGAACTCCGCGAATGTAAGGCTCAAATGAAGCAATGCTCATGTTGAAGTTGACTGGCCAAGCGTTGTGAATAATTCTATCAGTCGAAGAGAGCAATTCTGCGTATTTTGCAGCGTCGAGTCCAAATTTTGGCTTGGAGACATCCACACCAAGGAATTCAACCTTGGAAAAGTCAAGTGAAAGGCTGCGGCTTGCGCTCACGACACATTGTCGAGAAAAGCCTCCATCACCGCCACGGTTGAGTGCGTATACTTTGCTGACGCGAGGCGACGAGATGAGTTGGTCCAATATGTATGAGCCTAAAGATCCGGTTGATCCAGTTACAATTACTGTTTGATCGTCATCGTTGGGGTTTACCTGAGACGCGTTACGGTCTGGCAAGTCTTGGGTATACTTTGCAACCATGTCCTGCATGTCTTTGATCTGTTGCGCATGATAACTTTCGGAAATCTCCTGTTCATCAGAAGGAGATATGGATCGGAAGAGAAATTCTGCAAGGCGATCGACCGAAGGGTTAGAGTATATGACACGAGTGGCGATTATACCCTCATCAAATTCGACTCCAAACCTCTTCAAGCCGCCTCTTAACAACTTGCTGATAGTCATGACCTGCAGTGAATCAATACCGATACCGAAAAAGTCGGCATCCCGCTCAAGCTGCTCAATTCCGAGCTTGTCTCTCAGCAGTTCATGGATCGAGGACGCTAATCCTTCTCGACTGGTGATATCGAGGGTAGCGTTGCTCAGAGTGGCTTCAGCGCGGTCATAAATACCGTCGATGTACTCTTTGTACAAGTTGACTGTTTGAACCCTTTGCACAGTGCCTTTGCCGGCGATGAAGAATGGCATTTTGGGGTCAGAGACTGCGACTAGTTCTCGTACAATCTGACCATGTGCCACGGTGTGTTGGTTTGCTTCCTCAATAAGGGGCCAAACATCATCAATCAGGGCCTCCGCTTCGGCATCATCTTTCAGCAGACCTTTAGGTTCAAGGATCATTGCCGGCTGGAATCTTTCCTGGCCAACCACAAGGACATTCTTGATAGCAGGATGACTGACGACAATGTCTTCAATTGTCACAGGATTGAGCTTCTCTCCATTGGAGAAGACAATGACGTTGTCGTTTCGTCCGTAATACTTGTAGTGATCAGGCAGGGTTTCGTGAGCCTGGAATAGGTCACCTGTGACGAACTCTTGTTTGTCTGGAAAGTTATAGAATGTAGGCTGTAGGCCTGGGTCCAAGGGATCTTTGCGTTGAATCGTGAGCCCATAAATCCCATCCCACATAGTAGGGGTCAATTTTGCCCCCATAACGTCGGCGTTAAAGATGAAATATTGCCAAAGGTTGGGATCTGACTGAAATTGCAGGGCCATGGGGAAAGCCCTAGGATGCTGTTAGCCCATGCTCGTTATTCAACGGATTAGCATTGATCGGTTTGTATACTTACTCGCTGGATCCTAGCATGTTGATGATGAATGCACCATTGGCCACGAGTTTGTCCCCCACGGCACCTGAAAGGTTGCCTCCACTATAACTGATAAAATTAAGGTTTGTTATCGCTTTGAGACCGTCTTCTGTCTGTGACATGCCGTCAATAACGGATGGCGGCAATAGAGCCGCGTCAACACCAGAGTTGGCCAGACATTCTTTGACCAAATCTTCGCTCAATGGCCTCTCAGGAATAGCTAATGCGCAAGGCAAGCCGTAGTAGACAGTAAACATTAAAGAGGCAGCAATTCCAACACCATGAAATAGAGGCATTGGGTTGAACAATCGTGACGCTTGAGAAGCCCATCCTTCGTATAGAGAAGGGTTATTTCGTTCGTCACGAAAGTGCCGGAGGGCACCGCAGAGTTGAATATTGGCCTGATTTAGCACAATGGGCTTTGGCATTCCAGTTGAACCGCTTGTATGCATAGCGATCCAAGGATGCCATCGGGACTCGTATGCCGTGTGTTGATAAGGAAAGTAGTCTGCCTTGGCGGTGATCCAGTCCTTGGCACTCGGCACTTGAGAAGCGTGCATCTGTCTCTGTGCAAGTATCTTCTTAATCACTGGTTGATAGCCTTCTCCGTAGAGGAAATAGTGACAATCGGTAGCTTCCAAAAGGGACAGCTGACCCTCGATGGTGTTTCGAGGCGAAGTGAAAAACGCTTTGCACTTGGCCTTTATACAGGCAAGCATGATGATAATGTATCGTACATCATTTGGTCCAATGTAGGCAATGGTTGGGAAGTTGTCTTCCTGTATATCGTTGGCGGCCATCTCTTTGATGGTGTGGGCGACATGGTTGACAGCATTAGCCATCTGTCCATAGGTGACTGGCTCCCAGCCATCTTGAGGTTGATTAGATCGTGGGATGAAAATGAACGGACGATTTGGCTCTTTTGCAGCATCATCGTCGATGATATTGATGAGCGAGCGTGTCTCTTGAGTTTCAACGACTGAACCCATCTTGATTGTAACTTATTTGCTTGTACACCTTTGTTTGTACCGAGGAGAAGTATATGATTAGATTTAACTGGCAAAGATCACCAATATATATGTTTTAAAACTCTCCTATTTGAATGCTGTATGTCGTGTATATCTATTCTATTGGAATCGCTAAAGTGCCTACCGAGGCATTGCAGACGCAATACCGAGATATCTATCCCACCGGCTTTTACCCAGGGCTACCCTTACTCTATGATACGTTATACGAGATCCAAGTTGAGTAGAAGGGTTGCATTATTCCAGAATGTGACCTATCCGTAGCCACTGGTCCGTGGAGAGTCCACTGTAGCCAGGTATTATTCAGGGGTATTGCCGCGGACAGTATAGTTGAGGGTTGTGGTTTCTCTGGTCCCATCCAATCGGAGTTCTATATACCCACTGCGCAGTGTCCCACCATGTTCTCTTTCGGGAAGTCAATGGGATAGATATGACAAGTTGACATCTTGAATATATTTATGAATACTGAACTATGACGATCCTATGAATAATCCAGCCTTGAACAGTTGGAGGATAAGTATATTCGCTCTCTTTGAAAGCTGCTTATAAATTTATACTACCTGAAAATACTCCGTATAACTTATGGTTAACTGCACCTTTAGGTCTTCCGAGAACCAAAGCGGTAAATGCCTCGACGCAAAACTTGGACATTTTTACGTGGCGAAATGACGAATCCGTGGTGACACATAACCCGTTTCCATATTCCAACAAATTTAAGCTTTTGATGATGAAGCAACACTGTTTCTTCGATGTCAGTTGTCTCGGAGATCAGTGGGATGTTGACTCAAGTTTTCCATGGCCCCTATGTTTATAAACTGCTCCATCCGCGGACTTTTTCTAGAACAGCAAAGCCCCCTCTTCTGAGCGGCTTCTGCGGCAATGATATCATTTGCAGCGTGAAAGTTTTGGGGGCCATGAGAGATTTAAGGAATATATAGATCTTGTGGCGCTCAAGGGCCGTTCCGAATACATGCCGAACGCGATCTAGACAAGAGATTCTCCGTACGCGTGTTGACACAAAGGTAAGCAGGGTATATATGGGGCCAAAGGCACAAGCTTTGCAGATCTACACGGGGGGTTCACTTAAATGGGGGCCAAGGACAAATACGAAGCACCAGAAGAAATCGGTTCGGTCGCCTTTCTGCACCCGTGCCGGGCAACGGGATCCGCGGCTTGTTGCGGATTCATGCGGACTCCTGCGGACTCATGCGTCAATTGATATGCTAAAGCGGTTAAACCAGTTGGCATAAGAGAAACCATGTAGGATCGGGAAGGGGTCAAAGCTCAGACAGGTTGTATTCAAACGGAACTTTCCGTCAATGGCAAAAGTGAATCGTGAGTTCATTCGTGGATTTGCCAGTTGTCAACACGCTCTAAGCAAGTTTAGCATGCTCGTCATTGAATCTGGATGGTGACAGGGATTCGTCGGAATTATCGTTGCGTAGGCCACTTATAAATTACACTCGGACATATGATTCAGCCTTCCCAAAATACAAAATTGCACATCTCAGCGCAGCAGTTAACATTCTAGGATTTTATGGAGGCGCGTGTAATGTCTCGTTCTCCTAATGTCATCTCTATGTACTCGGACTTCTGAGCATGGGAATATTTTGGAAAGCTTTTTCAGGGTAGATACGAGGAGAAACGCGATACTATCAGCTTAAGCTAAGACATTATTCTATTGTGAGGGTAAGATTCTATCTCACCCTGTAATGACAACAACAAGTCACTTCCTCACCACTGATATAAAAGCAATACTTTCGTGGATATTGCAATTATCTCTTTATTAAGGGGAATTGGAAATGGGTTTTAATAAAGGCCCATTGTAACGGCTACTACGCAAACCAATGATATAAACGAATCCTTGTTATAACCATAAGCCTATAACATAAGTGTATATCTTGGGGTATCTACAATGCTTCCAGAGTTCATCCGACTATGCTTCGCTGGGAAAAAAAAAAGTCCAAACGCTGGGGAACTTATTACAGTTCGTGATGCAAATACAGCGATCGCTGAGAGAAAGACCGCGCCAAATAGCCATCCCGTTTACTACATCCGAGAGACCTCATCTGAAGACCAATTCGTCGAAAAAGAAAGTGACACCACCTCTATGGCGGAACATCCCGGCGGAAAAGGAAACAGTCGAGTACCTGGTTGCCAATAGATGCAAAGGCAAAACTGTGCAATTGAGAGACACGTGCATTGTTGTTTAATGGTACTTGTGTAGGTGACGTTTTCCGCTGTGATCTGGAGGATGCTATGTCGCACCCGAAATGAAAGAAAAATCAGCGATGGCTCAGAAGTCCCAAATTAACCTGGATTACTGTAGGTAAATGTGGAAGTGCATGATGTTTGTTTGCGAGGCAAAGATACACATTGATCGCGGAGTTGAGTGAAGCAACCGCAATTAGAAGACGTATTCCTCGCCGTGTATCACAGAGATTGCAAACTTCAGGTCCTTTTTCATTGCATCAAGGGATGAGAACGAAATTTGATGATACTTGATGGGGAATGGACGACTTGGGATATTTTCCGACGGATAGTCTAATCGATCGAGGAACGAGGAAGGAATCCTAGCAGTGGAAAAGTAAAGGCACGGCTTATCCATTGCCGTATGTGCAAGGAGGAAAACTTTGTGAGCCTTTGATTCGCCATCTGATGCGTCTTCCCTGTTCGGCGTATCCGCTTGTGTCCCTGCAACGGCGTGCTGTCGACGCTGCTGCTTCTGAGCCAAGGCTATTAAAACAGCCGCAATATATGGATCTTCGACCTCGTTGACAGGCCGCACGTTTTTCCTTTTCTTCTCTGCAATCCTATACTCTGGTGAGCTTCTCTCGACGTGCCAAGGGAACCTAATCGACATGTCGCGTTGCTGACTTACGTCGCGAAGACTGAGAAACGCAAGACTGGGCCCGTCGGCTTCGTATGAAGTGCGCGAGAAAATACCATAGGTATAGAGATTGGTAACATGACGGCCGTTGAAGTAAAAATTGAGGTCAGAGCTGAATTGTGATTTGCCTTGGCCAGCAATTATTCATCGGTGCCAGGTCATATTGAGGGGATACTTGCTGCTTGTCACGAGTCATGCCGCATTTTCTGAGAATGTCTCGCATGACGTTGGATAGGATTAAAGGGAATGTAAACCTGGAAATTCCTTTACAGCACGTCGAATAATGATGTCAGGAGGTAATTTTGTGGTATTCCTTGGGACTTGGTCTCTCCTAGTCTCTCCTTGGGACTGTCCTTGGAAGCCTCCGCGTTTTCAGCATGACGGGCATTCTGCTCTTTCTCGATCTTAGCATGAAATTGACAGCCCAACAGCTCTAGGTGCTGTAGTTTCCAATACAACGGCTTCACGTAGAGGCTCTTTCGGCAGTGTTGTCGAAGAATGCCATTTATGGACGATGGCTCGGGTGGACGAATCAAGGCAAGAAGACATGGAGAGAGGCCCGGAGATGACACGTCATGGTGATGGAGAGCGCGATGCTTCTTGGATATCTGTGTATCGGTGTCGTCTTTAACTTCACCTTCTTCTGTCTTTCGCTTCAGGTTGCAGATGCCTTTGGTAGCGACAGGCGTTTCACCGTCGGTTTGGAGCGTAATTGATGATAAGCGACAAGCCTCATAATCCAGTGCGTCAGAAGGCACTGCGTCTGCCATTTTTCGGGAATCTCACGAGTGATAGATATTATGAAGATGAAGACATGCATACCTCTGTCTCGTGACGGGATGGAAGTTCACATGTAACTTGGAAGTTGCATATGCCCAGTGTGGCGTCGCTGAGCAAGTGCGTGCCACAGACAGTCTCAAGAATTACGCATACATTAAGGTTCATATCAATAAAAGGACAAAACAAGTATCGCCTTAGGGTAATTAGATGACAAATAACACGTCAATTCCACCCAGTAACTCCAAGAGTCTCGTGTGGGCCCATAATATAACCTGATATTCGCATCCCACCATTACTTATAACTGTTGACATGTTTTCGAACTGCCTCTTCAAGACTCTCCATTCTGTCATCACCCAAACCAATATCTTCGTTTGAAAAGCGATCATACATGGCACCGCCAGTTGCCCAGATACGACGCAAGGCTACCACCACCGCCCATGGACTTCCCTTTTCCCACATGCTCCCTTCTGCGGCCTCGTGATCGGCCAGAGAGATGTACTTTGCACTAAATTTGACCTCAAGCTGCTTCTCATACTCGCTTAACACCTCATTTGAAGTCTTGACAAAGGATGCCACTCTCAAAACGGCATTGTGAGACTCTTCCGGATGGCGCAACGCTGCGACCACTGCCGTTCCCGCACTGATGAAGCACTTTCATTAGCCTTTGTTCCATTGTCTTCTATAGTGGCTAGGTGTTATTTACTCTTTCAAAGTTGTGAAGCCAATCTTGGTGTCTCCATCTCCAGTCAAGATTGCTTCCCTTCCCACCACATCAATTCCTCCCAGTCCGTCACTCCACTTTCGCTGGTCCACCCACATATCAAAGTACGGCCCCACGATTAAGTAGGTCACATTTAGCTGCTTCGTGTTTTCGCGGATAAACTTCCGAATCGCTAGCTTTGTTTGATGTGGCTTCTCTTGTGCGCTCCGTTCATTATGTTCCGGATCCGTGCCAAACTCTGAAGGGAAAAACCAACGTACAGTTGGTGACTCTTCAGCCAGTCGGATAAGCTCTTTCTGTGCCTCGAGCGCGCCTCTTCCGAGACAGCTAATAACTGTATCCACTCCGTCGTATGCCGTTTTAATGTCTTGGGGATTCATAATATCTCCCAGAACGACAGACACGCCAGACGATTTCCAGCCATCGATTATATCGGACTTACTTGCAGCCGTCTCTTTTGAAGTAAGGATGGAGACCCTGGGGAATGTCGGGCTGGCGTTCACAATGGCATCCATAATTGCTTTACCGACATTGCCGGTAGGGCCAAGAACTAGAATATGAGAAGGCTGGAAACTCGCCATAGTCGCGGATTGTACGTGGAATTGGATGCTCTGAAGGGATCAAGCACTTGAAGAGGCAGGTGTTTCTTATTAAGATAACAAAACATGAGATGCGAGATGCGAGATGCCGTAAATATATATAGTCAGCATAGCATACGGCCATAATGGTGCACTGTATGTACTTTTCTTAGACAAAGTCATTGCACTTTTGAAAGTCTTACTCTATGATATGTGTGGAATCACAAGAAATGCTTCGCCAGATGACTTGGAAGATGGTTAAGCAGCTGTAAGAATCGACTGCATCTATGAGCTAGGCGGAGACTAGTAAATGCTCATCCAGCATTCCCCCACACTCTAGGACGAGAAGGGATAATGCTCATTTGCCAACTGCATCACCATTGACGCTTTTTCGCTTTCCAGAGGAGTCATATGTCTTACCAAATACCATTGCTGCTTCTCCGTACTGTTGCCAGTGTCGCACACTGTAGTCAATTTTGGAATTCCATTACAGCTATTCAACCTTGACTGCTCCCAGCGATGCGGCCTATAGACAGCCACTACACAATAGGAAATGTGCACATTCCCAACTAACTTTACCAACACCTTGGAGGCACGGACTTACCAATCGCCAATACGCAACTTGGTTAGTTTCAGCGAGCGGACCACATTTCGGCACCAGGTTCCGGCTGCTTACCGTGTCAGCAGCATCTTGCCAACCATGGTGACTTTATCTCTGTCATTGGAGTTCATGCTTGAGAGAGTGCTTGAATCACTGATCACTCTAAGCTAGCTTATTGTGAGTCCCAAGTATTTTCCGTGCAATGATTCTTTGGTGGCATTGTGAGCGTTTCACTTCGCTCTCCGTATCAACACCACGCCAGCAACCGACGGTTGGGCCTTCGAAACGATTGACGATCGGAATTGATTGTCAGATGAGAATGGTCCATTAATATTCTAAACGAGATGCAATCCGTCATTACATCACCATAGATGATAGTCTGGTCCGCGGCCAATCTAGAATCCGATGTCGGAATGCATTTAGCCTACTTGCCAAAGTTCGCTATCTCTATCCGTATCCCGAAGCTTATAATGTACAAAATGAATCATCTTATAAGTAGAAACGGGAAGTGTATTTGTAATACAGAAGACGAGACTAGCGCAACTCAATCACATGCTTGCTTGAGCCTCTCGTCACTATACGAAGGTAAGCGTGGATCGTCAATCTGTCCTGACCACGCGTCGGCTCAACTGGCCGCGTATTCTATCAATGATCAGAATGAGTGTCAAACAAATTCTCACTTGCGAAATATAAATGGGATAACCAGAAATCACCGTAATTATGTCCTCAGGCCTACACAAACACGCCAGGCAAAAACGCAAAGCCCTTTGTTGAGTCTCGACTAAAAGTACAGCAATCATGTCGCCCTCACCAGCGACTTTAGCTATCGAACTGAACACAGCTCCAAACCCTACCGCAACTATATTCAGCGAGCTCTCTCAGCCAACTGATCCTGCCGAGCCCCATGTCCTCGTCTCAAAGAGCCGAACAGTTGCCATCATCTTCTGCATCACATGCATCAGCGGCATCAGCAATCTCTTGGCCGGGCTATTAACGGTTTGCATCCCAGTAATTGCAGCAGACTTGAACTTTCCCCCGGAGCTTCAACTTTGGCCAGCCTCGGCCTTTGCTCTAGCATGCGGTTGCACGCTTCTTCTCTGTGCCAGTGCCGCTGATGTAGTCGGGTGTCGACGCGTATGCTTAGTTGGCGCCCTTTTGCAATCTGCAAGTGCATTAGGCGCTGGGCTGTCAAATAGCCCTTCACAGTTGATTGCTCTTCGAGCTATCGCAGGAGTGGCAGCTTCTTTTTGCTTACCTAGTGCTGTTGGGATCGCAGCTCGTGCCTTTCCCGCTGCGAGTAGCCCTCGAAGCCGCAGCACCGCATTCGCTGCTATGGGTAGCGGCCAGGCGGTGGGCTTTGGAATGGGACTGGTATTGGGCGGCGTCTTGAGCGGTACGATTGGCTGGCGTTGGGGATTCTACATCACGGCGATTCTCAACGTTGTCGTGCTGCTGGTGGCTGTATGGGCATTACCAGCAGCTATAGATGGTGTTGCTCTGAGCCGGGAGACTCTGCATCATCTTGCACGAGATATTGATTGGATTGGCTGCGTCATTATTAGCACGGCACTGGCACTTCTGTCGTATGAGCTGGCTGTCGTATCAGGATCGGATGCGAGCGAGACAATACGCGAGCCGGCAAACTTGGTCATGCTCTGCGCTGGGATTGCACTTCTGCCTGCCTTTGCAGCGTGGATGCATCACCAGAAACTGCGAAGTCGACCAGCTTTGATCCCTAATGACATTTGGAAGAACTTGCCCCTCACCACCGTCTGCGTAACCGTCTTCTTAATCTGGGGATCTCTCAATGCGAGTGAGCAGTTCACGGCATTGTATCTTCAAGAAGTGCGTGGGTTTTCTCCTTTGACATCATCGCTCTATTTTCTACCGGCACCAATTTGCGGCGCATTGATGAATGTTGCCATTGGCATCTTGCTCCCGTGTCTGAGGCCCTCGTTTGCGGTTCCGGTTGGCTGCCTTGTAAGCGGCATCGCTCCATTACTTCTTGCCACACTGTGTGGTGTAGATGGTCCAAATTACTGGCGTGCAGTATTTCAAGCAATGGCCATGAATCCCTTGGGTGCAGATCTCATTTACACCATCGCCAATCTCGTGGTGACGTCCGCGTTTCCCACAAATACACAAGCGTTGGCGGGTGCCGTCTTTCAGATGCTTTCTCAGATCGGAAAAAGCGTGGGGATTGCTACAACTGCAGTGATTGCGCAGCAAGTTACCGCATCTTCACAAGTTCACAATATGAATGAAGCCTTGTTACGGGGTTACAAGGTTGGTTGGATATATAACTGTGGGCTGGGTTTTGCATCGGTCTTGGTAAGCCTTTGGGGTCTCCGAACTGTGGGTAAACTTGGCGTTAAGATGGATTAACTGGTACTTCCGATGATATGACAATACATCGTTCGGAAATGCGGATGAAGTAGTTTTAAACTTCTTCAAAAGCTACTACCGCTCTGCATGCTAGCTCTCTCGAATAACAAAAAAGAGTATTGCTGCAAATCGCAAGTCTATAGCAAAGAAAACAGCCTGCCCTCACCCAATCATGCGCCGGGGAAACGGCCGCCATGTGTTGGGTTCTCATCAAACTTGATATACCCTTTTCCTTTGACGAAAGTTGCATTCCACGGTCCTTGATCCTTTCCTTCGGCCAATTCAACATAGTAGTTTGAATGAGCCTCAGCATCCAGCTTATCGTATGCTGGCTCTCCATTCGATTCCCTCTCATCTGTGTGATAGAACCTGCATTGTGCAAATCATTGTCAGCATCATCGCACCTTGCTGGAAACGTATGCGCATACTTGTAGCCGGAGCTCCTGTAAACTTCAGACAGATAATGAATCATATGAGCGCTCGCTGATTTTCCCATGCCCATCGAAATTAGAGGCTCTAAAGTCATAATATGTAGCTTATTGCTGGTATAAATGAATGTTTTTGAAGCATCCGAAGGTAATTCTGCAAAACCCTTGACTGCCTGTTGGGCAGCAGCATAAGCAGAAAAGGTGTTAACATGCGCATCTGTGATTACACTTGACAAGGGCTGATCAAATCCTTGAATGGAAAGTACAAAGGCTACCCACGAGATATTTCAGCTTAATATCCTTTGGTCTGATGAGTGGAAGACTTCCTTACCGTTATACACAACGACGCTTGGGATCCCTAGCTTGCTTCTAACTTGAGTAAACACATCCTCAACATTGTACGCGTTCGATAAATCGGCTTTAATTGAGAGATAGTCATCGGGAGTATCCGCTACTTTATCTGAGCGGCAGACAACCGCCACTTTGTAGCCGCGGCTGGCAAAAGCACGAGCTACGGCAGCACCAATTCGCTGTCCATAGCCCAAAATGAGGACAATTTTTGAAGACATCTTAGCGAGGGGTCGAAATGCGTTGAAGAATATCTCTATTTAGCTTCAATATGAGTAAAGAATCTCGACCGTATACATCGTACGCGTACAAAGCCCCTCGGTTTATATAGAAGTATTTATTTGTTGATTACATACAACTAGGTTATGCTATTTATTTTATTGGCTTACATCAAAGCCATTGTAAAGAGTGACACGAGCAAGTCCGCGGACGTGTAAGCTGAACAGAGCTCCCCGCAGGCATGGCGTTCTCATGGCTTGCGATAGTCTGGATTAGAGTTGCCCAACTGTGGCTTGTAAACCACCCATACAGTTTTGTAATGAGTTGTATTATTCTGCGTTGAATAAGAAAAGAATCAGTTGCGACAAGTACTTTGCTATCTTTGCTAACGCCCCAGCTCAACTGACTCTCCAAAGGCTCATCTGCAAACTGAGAATCCTTCCAACTCAAAAGAGTCCCTTTGTAGGAGGATAATTCGATCTCACGTAATCGCGGAACTCTGTTGGCTTGCGGCCAATCAATCTCTTCAAGTCGCCCGTTATCTCCTCAAAATTGCCAGCATTCATCGCGCGAACCCAAGCCAGTCGGAATTGTGGCAATTGCTCAGGCTGGCCCTCGAATCCTTTCCATTTGAGATACTCTTCCTCGCTAATGTTCTTGGAAGACACTTTCTGACCCTTGGCCTGGCCCAAGATTTCGGCAATCTCCGCAAAAGAAAACGCCTCGTTGCCACTCAGCTTATACGTCTTATTCGCATGTCCCTCCTCCGTCAGCACGGTGACATTGGCCGCCGCGAGGTCGTCACGCGTCACGGGCGCAAATTTGCTTTTGCCAAAGGGAACGTTGATTCCTTCTTCGAGTGCGTTGGCGCCGATATAAAGGAAAAAGGTCTCCAAAAAGGGCGGCTGCATCATGATAGTGTAGTCCATTCCACTGGCTTTCAACGCCTGCTCAGTAAATGTATCACTCTCTGTGACGTCCCACATGGCAATGCCAGCACCCTCTTGGCGTTGCACTGAAGTGTAAACGACGTGCTTGACGCCGGCTTGCCTTGCAGCAGTGACTACATTATAGTGCTGCCGGATACGATCCGTGAAAGCATGCGCACCAATCATCATGACCTTCTCAATGCCCTGGAATGCGGCGAGAAGCGCATCATAGTCATTGTAGTCAGCCTTATATGTCGAAACCCCCTTGTCGGCAAAGCGCTTGAGCTTATTAGTAGGGTCTCGCGAAATGGCGGCAAGCTGCGAAGCCGGCAGTTTTTCGAGAAGTAGATCAAGCGTTATACCACCGAGGTGCCCTCCTGCGCCCGTGACCAGAATCTTGCCTGCAGCCATTGCTCCGAGATAGGCCTCAAAGTAAGGGATAGGTCTTTTGAATTAATATGCCGCGGTGTTTTTCGATATTCAATGTGAACCAATTGCTCAATCGCTCAATATAATACAAGATGAGTTGTAGAAACCCAAGGGTGTGTTTTGCATACACAACATTGCTGAATCTTCTCTCATTATATAGGCAGGGTCTGGTAACTCTTCAGAACTCAGCTCGGAACAAGTTGCCATTCTTCCAAAATAGGTCCTTAGTTCATCATGTATCAGCATGACTATTTGGGTTCGTAGATACAAGAAGTCACTTCACAACTCATTCTATCTCTTGTTTCATTGTCAAGTAGCCACTATCGAGGCAGCGAGGGTCAAAAACCCCACTCGCGTGGCTTAAGATGGCTAGAAATCCTTCGGAAATTCTTGAACCATCTTACAAACTGGAAAACGAGTGTGGAGCAAAGCCGGATCTCGGTGGTCCACTAAAATACGATTGCCGTCTTGAGGAGAATTGACATTATATAACAGAGAAGGCCTCCAAAAATGAGCGATTGCATCAAGATAACAATGGGCTGTCCTCGCCAGAAATAGACTACGAACTGACCAGGTTACTCAATTGAGGGCAATGAATATTGTGTTCGTGCTCGTGGTCACCTGTCTTAGTTCTGGTATGGTCATGACCCTGGTTCGTTTGATGGCGGGGGTATCTTGGGCTTTGAGTCCTCGCATTGATACTCAAACTACCTCTCGGCCCCAGACTCGTTTCCTATCCAAGGGATAGAGTCAGACCAACGCTCGCAATGGCACCTCATCATGGAAAGATATTCGCGGTAATCATCTTCTAAGCATCCATTGATTGAGACCATCGCGTTGCCCTGTAACTCCTAATTCCGCCAACTCCGTATCTCCGTTTCAGGAGGCGTATCTTGGCAATTGTCTAGATTTAAGCAACTTCAATCGGCCTCTAGCAGCGCAACAAGTCATTTATAGGGCGTCAGGCTACATGCACAGATTGCGGTACATACAGCTTTGCCACCATATATTTCTCCGTAAATGTTTATCACCTCGGCATGTGTAGGCTAATCAACTGGTGGGGCTAGGTTGACCTCAAGTCGAGTTTCAAGAGCTATTCAAGTGGTGTCAATTGCCTTGTCGTGAAGATATCCAGTTAAGATGCAGCTGCAGCTTACAACATGCTTGACTAAACATTAATCATCCTGACTGTACGAAAATCTACAGTTCTATCTTCGCAGAAAGGACCTCTATGTAGATCCGTTGTGGGTGTAATTCCGTCTCAGGCGGAATCGGCCTACTTCAAGACTCCGTGTCAGCCAGATGTTCTTCTTTGAGATATAAACCTAATGTCTAATTCCGCGTTATCATTATTGCTTCGGCGTCCATCACAAAACAGTAGGACGCCGCATCCAGCCATATTCACCGGTAATTAAACGGCTAGGTGTGACTATCAGTCCATATACCAGTATTGTAGGCTTTTGTATTCAACTAAAGGTTGGATTCTCTGAGAATTACAGAGTTAGCCAAGTAGGTGCTACCTCCAATGCCGAGTATGATAGGGCCCAGCAGCTTCCGTCAGTGGTGGACAAGCGTTGCTCTGAGACACCAATGATTTGATCGTTGTTTTATTTGCAATTATCTTGGTTTAGGTAGCTTATTTCATCTTAGTTTACCCATTTCTTCTTCTGTTAAGAGTATGATTGAGAAGTTATACGATCAAATATGACAAAATACGCTCAATACGCTTTAGTACGATCATATCGTCTAAATCGTTATTCCGAAGACTACCTCGAATGTAAATCTCCCCCTTATTGGGTCAAATAAAGTCCGCGTATAATTCCGATCATATAGAGGATGTATGTTACAGCAAACAGTTTCGTGTACGTGATATATAAAATACGATAGCTCTAGATATAAATATCTCCCCTCTGCGCTTTACTTACGCTATCATCCCGGGTACAGGGCCTGAAGAAGCACTATAACTGTACAGCATCATCTAAGATTACATTCCAAACTCTTTTACTGTCTTCTTGTATCAGACTCAATCAAAATGCCGTCCTGGGCCATTGTGGGAGCAACGCGAGGAATAGGTGTAAGCATATCCTGACCAACAAATGATAACCGTATCTCTAACTTATCCCATGCTAGTTTGAATACGTGAATCAGCTAGTATGTGCCCGACGCCAATCACGAAAGTCTTGATATTTTCTTTTACTTACCGAAACAATCAGTCATCTGACGCGAAGAATGAAGTCTTTGCTCTGATCAGGAGTCAGAAGACTGCTGGGCCGCTCAATGAGCTGGCTGCATCTCGAAAGAACATACATGTACTTGAGACGGATATAGGCAATCCTACAAAGTTGAAAGAGACTGCAGGAGAAATTGGCAGCATCGGTGGCGGCAAGCTGGATGTTCTAGTTTACAATGCATTTTTCCATGGGGACTCAGCAGAGCTCAGTCCAAGCGCATTGTAAGTAACGCGCTCGAATTAATGTCTAATATGAAACAAGATAGCAGAGCGCTTACTCCAATCCAGTGCCGGAAGAGAAGAAGAACTAGAAAACTATTTCTTCGAACCGGTAAGTCGCAATGGATTTGTCATATGAATGATGGAAATGAAACTAACAGCGGTGGTTGGGTAGCTCAAAGTGAACGTATTGCACCTCATCCACACCGTCAACGCATTTCTCTCTTTGATCAAAAAGGGAATGGAGAGGAAGATTATTTACATTTCTTCTCCTAGCGGAGATCTCGAGTTCAATCGAGTCAGCGAACTATCTACTGCAGTGGGCTACTCTATAAGTAAGGCTGCAGGGGCATTAGTCATGACCAAGTATGCCTCTGAGCTGAAATCGGAGGGCATCCGGGCTCTATCCATCTCGCCGGGCTGGGTTGAAACCGACGCAGGTACGTGAATACGATGTCAGAAAAGCACGCTACCAGGACAGCTACTAAATAAGATATTTACAGCAAAAGATCTTATTACCTCTCCTGGGGCATTCGAGGTGATTCTTTCTACTCTGAGAAAGTATAATCCGAATGTTAAAGGAATGATTTCACCAAAGGAATCGGTAGAATCCATGCTTTCCGTTATCAAGGGTCTCGATGAGAGCACCAGCGGCAAATTCTTATCTCACAAAGGCAATCTTGAATGGTTCTAGGTTGTTGTAATATTGGACAATGTTTTGAAGAAATAGCTATTCAACCCTTGATAGTTAACTAGTCTCTATGCGCAAGAAGTTACATGCTCATATAAGTAAACGAGTCTAACTACGATATTATATTCCCATGACTTGAGTATAAAGTAAGCTTCCAAGGCTAAGTTCACATCACTCCACTCCCTTGGATAGCTTGGATAGCCAGTTGCTATCACACCATCAAATAATGCAATCAGGTGGGAATATAGCAGTCCCTCTGCTTATTATTGCAGCTACATAGCAACATTGTCCAGTAAATTATACACTAAGCATGTGCGAAGTAGGCCCCAACAGATGAAATTGTCGCCCAGCGTCCATGTTCATCTGTCCCGCTAGGTATAGTAATAAGTAATGAAACTGAAATTCCTTGATTGATCGGCCAAGATCCAGGGATGTCAAACTTGACGGTAGTTTCTTTATCAGTCGAATAACCGAAATCAACCTTGTTCAGGATTTTCTTTTGTCCCATATAGACCTGAATGCCATCAAATATAGTTTTCCAGCCTGTGGCGTAGGTAACCTCGACTGACTTGAGTTCGAGTCTCTTTCCATCGGTTGGGATTTGAAATCCCATGGGAACTTGTACCCAGCCTTGGGTATCTGCGGTGACCCTGGACCTTATATGGGCACCCCATTCAGGATGTGAGATAGTCAGGGTGCTATCAGCAGGAAGAACTGCCACATTTCCATGAGTTTTGAACGAGAATCCAGTCATGATTTATAATTAAATATTTTGTTTGGATATAAGATAATGTACAGCTTGAAGAATCTTTGAGAGGATTATAATGTTACTTATATTTGTTCAACTACGTCATATATAAATCTAGTTTTGAATATGTCGGAAAGCTAATTTGTTGTACCTGCATGAGTGGACTGACAATCTCTCAAGTTATACTTGGTGGACTACCAACCGCAAGCAGCCCCATAAGACATGTGATCATGAAAATGCTCTGCCAAGACTTTTCAGCTAACTCTTTAACTACAAGAGGTAAATCTAGATCCCAAAAAATGTGAAGACGATTGGGAATATTGGGGGAAAGGGCTGAATAACATTCCTGTGCGAAAAGCCATGTCAAGCGATATGACGTCGTGCCTCGCATCGGCTATATCTCCTCTTTTCTTTCCCCTTTCTGACCAGCTTATCCAATGTGAAGGAAGTATATGCGCCTCATGTATCTCTGAGTCTCAAGCGGCGTCTTAGTTGAGTACGTGACGTTCACACAACCTCAAGGGCTGCCTGTATCCCTAGTGGCTGTAGAAGCTTAATAACCACGGCCAGCTGAATTTTCAGGCATAATTCAATTATTGTCAAGGTTTATGGGCTTGTATGCTGGTGACGGGAGCCTGAGGCGTTGATTGTAAGCCATGTAAGCCACCTGCCCCGAGACTTTCAGACAGGTATCAAGTTTAATTTCAAGAATTGGTGTTATGAACTCAGGAGTAAAATAGTATGTGAATATAATATCAACGAAGTTACTATAGTAATATAAAGGAGGTGATTTTGCTTCCTTACTGCTTGAGAATGTAATAAAACTCAAGAGTGCTGCTGTACAGAACCGAGTTATCCTTTTCATGTTTGGCTACATATCTCTGAATCCCCGACCCTGGACAATGTAATGCTATCAATCGTTTGTGAAATCAAGGTCAGGCAGATCCATCCTTCATCGCAAGTATCTCATTTGCTACTTAACCTAGAAATTCTCAGGCGATATTACCCTTGCTCACTTCTTGAATCTCATGAGTAATCAATCAAGCCGAGGCTTCGGCGTCTTATCCACATGAGACATGATTCAGTTGGCTCAAAGTGCACAGACCAGTGAACCAGGAACCTTCCTAAAGAGACAAGAGCAATAATCAAAGCCTAGTCGATGCATCTATGGGCTGATAAAATGTCAAAAACAACAAGAAAAGAAAACAAGACTCGAACTCTCTTTGAGGTTATCTGAGTCAATGACTCATTTCATGCAATTGAGATCGCGAAATCGCTATTCCACAAATGCACGTGACCGGCATCGTACTCCGAAAAAGCGCTGGAAATGGCCGATTTGAGTCATTCACCGGCAGTTATATTATATTATTCAGTCCAGTTGCGGTCTTGGCTCAACTTCGATCTCAACACGATAGACGAGGTTCCTAGACTCAAAATGGCTAGTCACGCAGTTTCATTCACTTCAGTGCCAGCAAAGCTGGTAGAACTACTGACTCCCGATCTGCCCTATTCCCTGCCTTTGCTGAGGCGGCTACAGTCTACAAAGTTCAACCATGGAACCTCTCCTCATGCGCGCATTGTCTTTGTCTCCGATACCGAATTGTCTTCGGAAGAGCAATTTGACCAGTATCAGTCCAAGGCATATACCGCGGCTTATTTGGACTTTTCTAAGCCGGAAACTCAGATGTACATCTACTCAACCATAGAACACCCGCGCAACAGAGACGACGCCAGTAACAGCCACTTATATGAGCCGCAATTGGCGGAATTAGTGAAAGAAGTCATCCGGTTGCGCAATGAATACAAGCAAGAGCTGCTCTTTACGGACCCGGACCGCATCCTGATAGGGTCCCTGCACTCGGCCGTCCGTTCCATCCTGGAGAAATTCAAAGGCCGTGTTCAGCCTCGACCAACAGGCCTGTATGATAAATGGCTCATCAAGAGAGAAGAGCTGCCTCTCTTGGACGAAAATCTCCCTCCCGGCATGTATTGGGATAGCGCCAACCTGGATGACTGCCAGTTGGTTGTGTCCCGGACTGACATCCCCCGTACCGCGTACGTGTATTAGAAAAATCCCATTCCCGAAACCTTCTTTGGTCAGATCAGCGCTGTGCTATTGGTTACTTTTGCCGCATTCATCTCGGGAACTAATCGGCATGACCGCAGTCAGACGCTTGTTAACCTGCCGAATCTGATGATTAAACGACAAGATAAGACGCCAATCGCGTGGGCACTGCTAGGAACTGATGGATCCCTAATCAGTGTGCATGTGGAAGTAAGTTCCCAAAAATGACAGGCATCTTGAACCCCGGAGAATATTCGTCATGATGAGCATAGCATGCACTTATACTGAACAAATAACCTAGGAGCCTTATAGGCGACAAGGCCTGGCAAAGAAGCTAGCCGTGAAGCTGTTGCGAGAAAAGGCCACACGCTTTGGAGACGATGGCTGGCTCTGCGCCGATGTCAGTCCCTCAAACGTGAGCTCCCGGGCGATGTGCAAGTCCCTCAATGGAAAGCCGGACTGGGTGACTTCTTGGTGAGAACATCTTTCTCTATTTTTAGCCCTGGCTGATATCAATGCCACGCACTGACATTACCCTCGCCCATATAGGATCTGTCTAATCCTGTCCGAGACCGGGGAGGCCGCAAAGCCCTAGCAGGCAAGTTGAACGGAAAATTAATTTGCGACACGATGAGCGAGGTAAGCGAAGAAAATCACTGCATCTGTAGGGATTCATGGGGTTTGCCCATACGACGAGTACGTGTATTCGCCCGGCTTATAGACCTTCCTTGGGAGATAGACAGATAGAGCAAGGATTGCATGTGATGGCGTTTTTTTTGTACTCCATCTTGATTTCTCCTTTTATTTTAGCTTGATTTGTTATGTGATTGTTCGAGGTGCTGGGGGTGCTCCGATGCATACTAGGTAGTCGGCATTCAACACTTACTGTATATCGGCAATTTTCGAATATCGGCTTATTCATAACCCGGATTATCAACACTCACCGTGACAAGGAATGAAAGTTGAAGAAGCCCTTGCTGATTCCGAACTAAGACCCTCGATCCCATGATGGAAAATAGTTCGCCTAAGCAAGTCATTCACCTTTCACATGCCGTAACTCATTCAGCATCTTTTGTAATCATGCAGACTCACCGAAATGAAAAACGACGAGAAAATCTCTACAGTCGTATTCCCACCTAATCGCATTCCACATCCACATCCACATCTATCTCCCATCCTTGCACAGCGCTAAAAAGTCCGATTCTGCACTCCGCTCCGGACCGGGTCCTGTCCTGCCAAAACCAGCCAAGCATCCATGGATGATCCATACTGTAACTGACTGACATGCTATGTACGACTCTGGAAAATCAAGAGCCGGTCACGAGCTGCTATATCGAGCAACTTCTGCATTCCAACGGGGGCAACCGTTTGAAAGAGACGTCCTCGACACAACGACGCTTCCAAAAGCAGCGTGTTGCCTTGGAATACGAAATCGAAAACCCTGAGAATGATGATGATTAATGAAGTGGGATAACATGAGTCGCTCCAGGCACCACCTTGTATATGATCCTTGCTTTGTCACATTTCTGTTTGCCTCTTGACATGTCCAACAGGAAGTTTGCCGTTAGTAGTCGCACCCCCCCTTACACACTAACACCGGGGCGAACTCTTTTCCAACGTACTCGTATAGACAAACGAATGAGTATTATCTCCCACTCCCAACAACTTGTAAGCGCGCGCTCTCCTAGTCCTCCATTTGTTATCAATCATCGGCTCCGTATGCCGAAAAAGGCACGAGCCGTTAAGCATCCGGGATGACGGAATTTTAACCATAAGCTTTTCTATGAAGCAAATGCACAACATGAAGCTCAACTTCCCGATTCAGACCACCAGCTGGGGCAACGCTGCTCCTGATTCATGCTAGCGTTGTGTCGTGAGAAAGGCGATGAACTGCTCCATTGACTGCTAATAATAAAACGGTTAGGGCCGATCGTGCCCGGCTGCTGCGTTGGGTAAGCATCAAAACAACATTGCAACGAAGTTCAAGCAACTGGAGCAAAATTTCCCCGCCGGTGGGATGCAATACCGGTCGATCAATGGGATAGCCGTCTGTCAAGGTTTGGATCCATAGGGCCCAGCCAAGCCAGCTAGCAGGGGTGCTCGATGAAGTAGCATTCCACGAACCACATAGCTGTATGTATGTCAAAGCACATGAAACGGATCATGTAGGTGGGCAGGCCCTTGCTTCGGTGGGCAGGTGGTCCTTCTTCGTCTTCTTCTGGAACGGCAACTTAATTCTTGTAACTATCCTTGATTATACCTGCGATCAGCTTGTTGATCGACCTAATCCTTGCACCATCATCGGATGAAGAGCCTATCCAGGTATCGCTGGCAACTCTCGATGTCCGCTCCCACGTATCCAATATACATATCAGGACGAACCACCACGGCGTAGGATTCGCCCGCTTCGGTCCAGTCCGCAGTAAAAGTTCTTGCCTTTGACGTGACTACGCTCTCGGCGGTCGCCGATGAGGGGAGGATGCTGAACAACACGGCAGCATCCTCGTGAGCAAGAGCCTGTTCTGGATGGTTACCAATGGCCAAGATCAGATACTTGCCATAGGTAACCTGGGAGTATAGCCGAATATCACCATCACTGTCTGGCGCGGACAAAACAACATCAGGGCATCTCTTGCCAGCCTTCCAGATTCCGTGCTCAGATTCTTCCACAGTTGGTGATCCCATGCCATCGTACGCAACGCCCATTCCTATTGGCCTCCATGTTAGCCAACTGTTGCGCGTTTTGCTCCTGCTCAACACATCACACCCAACCACGGTGACAGGGGGGTGTCCCAGCTGCATCAGGGAAGTGGTGTATGCTCCATGAAATTACTTGACGGGAAAATCCACTGACCTGTGATATACCCCGCGTTGCGTTCAATGGTACCAACATATTGTTTGGCGGTATGAACAGTGTCCCGAACCAATGCTGCTGCAACGTCAATGACACCCTGGGCAGTTTGCCTGCGCTCGATGTCATAGCTACGGAGAATCTTGCCTGCAGCGCCCTCCTGCAGACGGGGGCTTTTGAGAACAAGGGCCAGACGCCAAGCGAGACTGAACGCATCGGCAATGCCTGTGTTCAGCCCTTGACCCCCGTTGACCGAGTGGACGTGGGCTGCATCACCAGCCAAGAAGACACGGCCCGCACCATCCCTGGAGATGAACGAAGAGGCGATCCTCTCCTTGACTAAAGCCAACTGTTAGCTTCGCCGACGTTTTATCTCTTTATGCTTTTGCCACTAAGGAGGAGTTGCCGGGCCAGCAATGTCCATGCCGGCTCCCAGGACCAAGCGGCATGCCTACCTGACACGGAATAAGGGAGTTGTAAAACAAGATAAGGCAGACGGACAAGGGGAAAGTCGGCAAACAAAAGTTCAGGTAAACATTGTCAAAAGTCCACTTACCATCAAACGTGCTATACCACTCAGTCTTGACAAAGTCGGTCCGATATGGGGCCAAGTGTTTCTTGATGGACTCCTCAGCACGCTCTTGCGTCACTTCTCCTTCAAGAAGCACGTAGAATCGACACAGCCCTCTCTCTCGCGGGATCCAGGACACTCTGGACTGGCCGTTCAACTGGAAAGTGATGATTTCTGGGCATGTGGGGAAGTCTGTATCGATGAAGGTATCCAGCACCGCCCAGAGCATTTCCGGTTTGCTTCCAGTAAAGGTCGCCCCAATAGCTGATCGTATTGTTGACCTGGCTCCATCTGATCCCAGGGCATATTTGGATCGGATTGCCCGTCCACTCTTCGTCACTATCTCGACGAACCCATTGCTTTCGATGAGAGATTCTACCTGTTCACCATAGTGCACGAGACCATCCAAATGAGTGCTCAAGATCTTCTCCACAACGGGTTGGCCAATCATGAGGAAATTCTTATGAAGAGTGTGCTCAAGGCTCACCCACCACTGGTTCTGGCGAGAAATGAAGTCTCCTTCGCCGAATGTCGAGCTCGCTGCAGAAGCCAGTAAGTCAGAGTACCCATTCTGTGTAATAGAAGAGTCGAAATGCCCCCTTACTGTTGCATTTTAAACCCTGTGGCAGCAGTTCATCTAGAATGCCAACAACTGTCAAGTACTGCTGTGTTCGCGCGTTCAACGCATCTGCACGCCCAAGGTCCAAACTTTGAGGTTTGGCATCTGCCAGTGGCCAAAATCAGTCCGTATTCAATATTTTGAGAGGCATATGCAAATGTTCCTACCCAATATGCTGACGGAAACGCCGAGGCGATGTAAAAGCAGGCCGGTAAGCAACCCAGTAGGGCCTCCTATCATGAGGTTTTTCATCAGCACTTCAATATCGACCAATGATGCTGTCTGCTGTGTAGTCTGCAAACATACCACCAACAATTGCCACATCAACGACCTCGACTTCGCTGTTTGAACTGCCCATATTGGTAAAACCCTGAAATTTTGTCGTAGTCTTTTTGGAGGAGTCTGTATCAGAAGAGAGATGGAAAGACAGAATAGCAGTGATGAAATGTAATCCGAAAATTCGAGGGTGGCCATGGGGTCCTGTTACCTATAATCACATACCAACAGCCGTGATACTCAATTCTCGGCGGCAGACAACCCTCGTCAACAGGGGTCGAGATACTAGGTTGCCAACGACTCCACCAAGATTCCACATTTGCGATCTAATGAAAAAGTTTGAGGCCTGTCAACGCTCTGGATGAAACCATAGAGGTGTCCAAGTTCTAGGTGAACCGCATGGCAGGTTGTCGCACGCCCCCTCGGGGGTCCAAACCGTATAGAGAAGGTGGCACAGCATCGACGGCTATCACTGGCAGTTGGTGGGCCATGAAGCTCTAGAGGCTATGCTATGTATATCCAGATGAAGAGCTTCCATCTGATAAAAGGATCCAGATTCGCCAAACGATTTTTTGAGAATCGGCAAGAATTGGATCACCACAACTATTCTTTCTCCATCTCCAAGTGAAGCCACCATGCCATCTGCTGTGGAACTTGAATCGCTGGCCGTCGAGGTCCCTGAGACCCAGGCCAAGCTGAACTCGACCTCTTCCACCCCTCCTCTTCCTGTTACTGTTCCTTCAGTTTCTCTCACCACTGGCGTAGATGCAGCCGCTCTTCAGACAGCGTCCAAGATTCTTCACATCATAGACCGGTATCGTCTGAAACGGTCGGTAGACACCGCTGCCAAAGCTGATGAGGGAGCCTTGAAGTTTCTCGCCCTCATTTACACTCATGTCAAAGCCGGCGATGTCGTACCCATGTGCCTGCCCGCCTTTCCCTTCAAGTCACCAAACTCTCAGTCCAAAGTGTTGGGCAAGCTGCCTGATCGAGCAGAGGAGCTGGCTCTGGCACATCTCAACGGCCTTTGTCTAGCTATTCAAGACATCTACCCTCCAGGGGCAAACCTCACCATCATCTCAGATGGCCTGGTATACAATGGTACGCTACATCGGAAGCCTTCTCTTTAATTGTTTTCAGAGGGATACTAAATCGAAGCATTCAGATCTGCTCGGCGTCCCAGACAAAGATGTGTGGAACTACGGCGAAACACTGAGAGCTCTAGCCGCAGCAAAGGGGTACAAACATATTTCCTTCTCACGTCTTCGAGATCTTGTAACAATTCAGTTGCCAGAGCAGCTCGACGAAATGACATATGTCGCAAACGCATCGAACTTCCGACGAGCATTGCTCAATACCTTCAGCCGACCCGACTGGGAATGGAAGACTGTTAGCCAGAGCGAAGATGTCTGCTTGACGTATAGAGGATACATCAAGTTCTTGGAGACGGATCTTGAGACTGTGTATCCAATTGGGGATGAGCGCAGCAAGACCAAGTATAAGCGAGGTATCGAATACATTGCCAAGCAGATGATGGCCCGTGGAGATGTAAGTCCTCAGCCTCCCACCTGAAGACCGCCTCTCCCACTTGAGGACCGCCTCCCACCTGAAGGCCGTCTCCGTGTCCATCACCGCTGACTTGAAGGATTTAGGCATTCGCCAGCGCAGTTCGACAAAAATACAAAGACTCGGTCCGACTGTCGATACATCCATCTACTGGGGCAGCCAAGCTGTCCATCAGCTTATTACCCACCGACACCACGTACACAACACCTTGGCATTGCGCGGTCGCATATAGACTAGATGGCACTACGACTACCGGCATGCGGTCCGATTTCGAGAATGACGAGTCATTCGAACTCGTCTACGAAAACGGCCGACCCAGCTATTACCGCGAGAAATCAGATCTATTTTCGTGGGGCGCTGAGAAAGGTGGCGTTGTCTTTGAGCCATTGTATCCATCTGGATTCCTCGCCAAGCCTGCAAGGGGTCCCTATAGCATGACAATAGACGACGTGGATGCCAAAAAGGTTCGCCTATTATCGGAGATCAACTCTCCTGTAATCCTTCGTGGTTTCATTAAGAAGCCGAACAAGGAACAATTCGCCAAAAAATCAGAAGAGTTTGGCAAACCCACAGCTTGGAAGTTTGGCCTCATCCTGGAAGTCAAGGATCAAGGGACGAACAGCTCGGGTCTTAATAATGTGCTCTCTCGCGAGTGGATGCCTTGGCACTATGATGGTTTGTTCAAAACCGTCAAGCAAGTGGATGAGAGCGGTGAGGAGACTCTTGTCTCAACACCACCTCGGTAAGTGTCCATGTCTGTGGCTAGGAGCGTGATGGTGATAGCTGTACTGACAACTTTTTCCTCCTCTAGATTCCAGATCTTTGTTGGAGCTACTTCGAGCCCCCGTGATACGGGATTTACGCTCTTTGCATCGTCTACGCTTTTCCTCAAGTATCTTCCAGACTGGCTGAGGCTCGGAGCGCTGTCGGAGATGACTTGGACGGTTTCAACAGCCTCCTTTAATGCAACCGTGCTCAAAGGTCTTCCAATGATCGTATCCCACCCAACGACAGGAAAGCCGTGTCTCAGGTATCACGAGCCGTGGCCTCAGTCTAAGACCCAGTTCGAGCCCACGAACGTCACCATTGACGGGCTAAAAGCTGCTGACAGTTCGGCGATCTGCGAGGCCATCGACTCGGTCCTTCACGACAGAAGAGTGGCCTACTATCATGTCTGGGACAAGGGAGACATTGTGGTGAGCGACAATATCCTGATGATGCACACGCGGAGTGACTTTAACTCCGGAAGTGATCGGGAGCTCTGGCGGATCCATTTTGACTAAGTGAGGATGCTTGGCGCATTAGAGTTGTTTTTTCCACAGGCAGAGGGTTTGTCTGTATTGCATTGGTGTTAGCACTTTGATTCCAGGTTAATTTACCATACATAGCAAGTCTCAATATGATTGCATTACCAGTACTGTTCCGAATACGTAAACCTGGACATGATTGGTAGTCTGTCCTTTCCAAGAGGTGTGTTGAGTGGCATGAATATGGCAATGAAGACGCCGTGAATGTGCTGAGGTTAACGTATCAGTTTCATAGAGACGGAGACCTGGGGTTGAGATGTTGTTGATAGCTGTGATATCAAGATCAAGGGAAGGCAAGAAGGGAAGTGGACTATGGTGTTAGTTGTTGGGTTGACACTGTGCACTCCGTCCTAAGCCCAAGAGCCATTTAATGGCCATCTCAGGTGCACAGGGCTGGTGGTTGTGTGAATGTGCACTAACTCTACAGTGCGGAATGACGCTGATGCCTAAAGTTTGCTCAGTTTGCAGCGGCCTTTAGCACCAGCATCTCAACATCAACTTCCACTAAAATTCACGGTTGATGCAAATCATTTTGCCATTACCAGATCCAACGCTCTGTCCATTCCCATGTAATCGCCATGTCGACCTTCAATGGCCTCGTCTCCGAGTTTCCAGACATAAGAAGTCCGGCTCCTTCATTCTGGTGCCAAAGATACTCTGTGCTAATCGGTTGATAGTCGATTTCTTCAGACACCACGTTGATGCATCACCACCATTGGCGTGCTTTCTCAGCCATGTCCACAGCGATCATCTTTCCGGGCTCGAAAGTCTCCGATCTCCCTTGTAGGTCTGCATGAAAAACATCATCATGTTGGGGTTGGCTGCTAATTTGTTAGTGTCTACTGCTCTGCAGCGACCAGGGAGATCTTACTGCGGCTGGAGCGATACCCCTGTCGCATCAACTATGCCAGGGGCATTCTGGAGGCGCGGCAGCAGACTTACAAGCATCTAAGCAAGGTTATTGTGCGTAAGACTGCTACCAATACAAGGATGTGGACACTCGCAGCTGATTCTAGAGCAGAAACCACTTCCACTGGAATCTCCAACCACGATCGAACTTCAACCTGGAAACTGCATTCAAGTGACGCTGTTTGATGCGAATCACTGCCCTGGCTCTGTCATGTTCTGTAAGTGGTGAATTTGTCTCTGGCGGTACCGTCCTTCGCTAACAACGATCCAGTGATTGAGGGCCATGGTAAAGCGATACTTTATACTGGGGACGTGAGATGCGAGCCGTGGTTCGTCAACGCCATCACCAGAAGCCCTGCTCTTATCGAGTATACGTGCGGCATCAAAACTATAGACACCATATATCTCGACACTTCTTTTGTAGACGACATTCCGTTCGAGACCAAAGCAGAAGGAATCGCACAGCTACTACACAAGGTTGCCAGATATCCAAAAGATACAATCTTTTACATCCAAGCCTGGACTTATGGCTACGAAGACGTTTGGATTGCGCTGTCCAAAGCCCTCAGCTCTCCTGTAAGTCTATTCATCAGAAACACGTTGTCCTCTGCTAACAGCCAATAAAGATTCACGTCGACGACTACAAACTCCGTATTTACAATTCCTTGAACACTTCATCATCAGAGACACGGCCTAGCTCGAGTGCTCAATTAACTTCAACCGCTGCTGCCTTGACCGGCTTCATGTGTGGAAATACGCCCCAGTCCGGCTGCCTTACCTCGGATCAAAATGTCCGCCTTCACAGCTGTGAGAGCGGCAACATGTGTCCGATTGCGAGACGATCTTCTGTGGTCCGAATTCAGCCTGTTGTCGCATCATTTTCCGATGGCGCTGTTATCCAAGAGGCTGGAATAGGAGGAGGTGGCGAAGACTTGGAGCGCGAGATGGAGCTTGGGGTTCCCAACCAGGGCGATCTCGAAATCTTTCTTAAAATGTAAGTATGCAAGGATATGCAGTGAATGGGTATTTGGAACTGATTCCTTGCAGAATAGAGGCGTTGAAGAGCACGACGGAAGAAGAGCGAGATGAATGCGCTCGTGCTCTGACAAACGCACTAGCCAGTGGACGCGATCTGCAGCTCAACATGAGTCTATCATCTGCTGAAGACGCTCATTCGACCGACTTACAAAGAGCCATGTTTTCTATCATCAACAGTCAGTTGATGGCAATCCCCAGCCGTACTAAGGTCGAACAGTGCAGCGAAACAAATCTCCCAAACGTTATCCGATTTCCATATTCCCGGCATTCGTCCTATGCTGAGCTTTGCAATCTAGTGAGTGCATTCAAGCCAAGGGATATTTGGCCTTGCACATTCCATCTAGAGACTTGGCAAAATAATGGTAGGCCATTCGAACGAACTCATGTATGTATGTCTCTCAAACGCTGACACATTTCCAATAGCCATGTCCATCGAGTCACTTTTTGGGAAATATTGCAGTGACAACATTTTCGCACACGACATAAGAATCAACAATATTGTGAAAGAAATGAAACGGCGTGCTCACGAAGAGCCAAACTCTCAGGGTTTAGAAAGCTGCAGATCGAATTCGGCTTCACCTACGGCCCAAGTGTCGCCGAATGCCCCCCATCATGGCGGACTTAGGGACACCGTTATCATCACCGAACGTGAAGGCCCGGTAAAGAAAGAATGCCATGGACCACGAGAGTTGATAACAAAAGGAGCATCTACACAAAAGTCAATTGAACTCTTGACTTCTGAAGATGACGATGTCGCAGGTGAAAACGAATCGCAAGAGAGCAACGCATCCTTCACCTCGGTACTTTCCACACGTCATTCTCCAGTGAGATGTGATGCATACGATCGGATGCTCCAAAATTACCACGGCATTGGCTGGAATTCAATCGAACTTATATCCGTCGGCTGCAACCACAGCGTTGAAGAAACAGAGCTCTAGACAGGCGTGGACATCACAGCAAGTCAGCCTCAGCAGTACATATTATATAGCATCATAACTGACCATCCAACAGATAGGCACTCAGGCACAATCTTGCTCCCACATGCCAATTCCTATTGCAACTTGTTCCTTTGTTCCTTTGTTCCAATCCTGCACCCCATAGTGCTTATCAACTGCAGCAGCAACCATTTCGGAACCACCAATGGGGAACCTCCAAGCTCTACAACATTCACGTCGCTGGTTGTTCCCGTAGCCAATGGCAGTGTCCAGAAAACGAGGACATGTTTGATATGAATCCTTCCGACGCTAAGTGGATTCGGGGTTTCAGACCCCCCGGGCAGACAGCTGCAACACATCTAGCTCCAAAGAAGGGGAGCTGCCGCAACACTTTTTGGAGGCAAAATTAATCAACCATGAAACGCAGCGCCAAACGATGAATCTTGTCTCATCGGAATTATGACTTTCAGATTCTCCGTCAGCATCGGGAACACGGGAACCACGAAGTCGCCGTCAGACGAGTTTCGACTCGTCACTTCTAAGCCTCTAATAACAGAGATGCAACATCACTCGGTAAGACACGCTAAGAGCAACCCTTTCGACGCCATTAGCCCGACATCATCGGTTGGAGTAGCTCCGGTGAGCTATCAGCAATCCCCCCGCTGCCGTGGTGATGTAATTCTCGTTCCTGACGGCTATTTTTATAGCTCAGTTTCGCATAAGCACATAGCCTCCTGCTGCGACGCAATGTCATCCGCTCAAGATGATTTCATTCCCCCTCTCATAATTTCTTCCGTGCATCTGTCCATCCGATCTTTTGTTTCAAAACTTCGATTCTTTCTGATCTGACCGGGTCGCTCCGAAACGACGGGTCCTCATATGTGATGGATGGCGCACTCGCTGGAGTTGTAGGAAAGCAAATAGCAACCGTCTCAGCCTAGACACACTCACATTCACACTCAGCATGGCTATTCCCGAGTTGCTGGGGTCTGTGACCTCGAGCCAGCTTTGGAGCTTCGGCGCTCTTTTTCTGATCTTGTCATTCATTGTCGACTTCGCCAGTCACCCGCAATATCCAAGCCAGATTCCTGTTATGGGCAAGGGCCATGGAATGCTCAACGCTTTACTCGACAGCTTTCGTTACCTCACAAACTATCACCGCTGGGTCAGCGATGGCTACGTCAAAGTGAGCAGCAGAACCTTTACAAGCAAAGTACTACTCAAAGTGATTAACCAGAGCTTTCGCAGTTTGGCAAAAAAGGCCTGCCATTTGTCGTGCGATCCCCGTTATCTCGCCCTTCAGAGGTCGTCATCCCTCGCAACCAGATTGGCTGGATGATGGATCAGCCCGATCACATCCTCTCGACCTATGATGCCCATAATGCCGTCCTGTATTCCGAGTACAACTTTCTCGGCCGCCGCTTGGCCTATGACCCATTCCCTAATCGCGTAATGCACAAGTATATAGCGCGACATCTATCTACAGTCATCCCCAACGTCGACGACGAGATTCAGCACGCAATAAACACAACTCTCGGAAACGATACAGAAAACTGGAAGTCGTTCAAGCTCTGGAATCTCTGGCTTGAAATCGTACCGCATGTCACCAACAGATTGCTCATCGGGCCCGAGATCTGCCGCAACAGGCAATTCATCGATGGAATGGTCAACTTTACAAACGACGTTGTCCGCAACGGCTTCCTGCTCCAAGTCATCCCAAAGGTCCTTCACCCCATCTTTGGCCGCATCTTTGGCATGTTCAATTATCTCCACTGGCGCTCAGCCAACGCTCCAGCCCAGCCCATTATTGAAAAGCGTCTCAATGCTATGCTGAAGAAAGCGGCGGGCGATCCCGAGTACAAGGACTTTACGCCTCCCGAAGACTTCATCACCTGGTTAATCCGACAGGCACTCGCAGATGGAAAGGCATTCGAGCTAGACCCCATTGTTATTTCTAAACGACTTCTTCCCATCGAGTTTGCCGCAATCCACACCACGGTGTTGACAGGCCAGCTATGGATGCAAGACCTACTCACCTCCGATCCCGAAACTGGCATTCTAGACATCCTCCGAGCGGAAATCGATGCTCACAAGCCCGAATCCGGCCCCTGGACAAAGGCTGCCATCTCGAACCTTGTCCGCCTCGATTCCTCCATCCGCGAGTCCCAGCGAGTCAGCAACTTCGCCGTCACAATGATCGAGCGCAAGGTCGTCGCCGACAACGGCCTGTACAACCCAGAGCTGGGCTGGACTCTTCCAAAGGGCAGTTTCGTCACCGTCAATCTCGAAGGGACGCACCACGATCAGGACCTCTACAAGGACCCCCATTCATACAACCCTCTCCGCTATTCCCAGGTCAGAGAAGCTTGGGACGCGAAATCGGATGAAGAGAAGAAGAGCGAACCTGAAGAGGGTACGAGAATACGGGGACTTGGAATGGTGACTACAAGTCCCCAGCATTTGGCTTTTGGCCATGGCAGACACGCTTGGTGAGTGTTGTTTTGAAGATTGGAATATCGGTTATGTACTAACGTATGGAGTAGCCCCGGGCGATTCTTTGTCGCGCACGAATTGAAGCTAATTATGATTCATATACTGCTCAATTACGACATTAAACTCGTTGGCAAGGTGCCTGAGAAGCAATGGATAGGCGGCACCATCATTCCACATCTGAAAGCAGAGATTCAAGTCCGGCGAAAGAAAGTGTCTGCGTGAGAGGATTAATAATATGCAATGATGAAAGGGAAAAAAATTGGAATATTCGATGCGGCCTTTTGTAGTGCTCGCTTGTATTTATCATGTATACCAAGAGAAGGCTATCGAAATACACAGGATCAGGAAGCATAGCCACAAGACTTGGTTGGATTATTTCACCCAGTATCTCATCGTAAGCAATATCGGAGAAAGCAAATAGTCAATATTCACTAATAGAAGTTTGATCCTCTCTCGCTAGATCTAATAACAATGCATCATGAACAGTTATACCTCGATATTCTCCGCTCAATTCTTCTCAAGCCTCGAAAACATAAAAAAAACAAGATCTATATATTCAACCCCATAAGCCCATCCCCTCCCAAAAACAGCCCTCCAACAGACCCCTTCTCCCTCTCCCTCAACAACGCACCGACATCAACTCTCCCTCCCGTAATGTACTTTTCGCTCACACCGAGATTCACCCTCCTGCTCAACTCCTCACGCAACTGTGCCCTCAGCGCCCCCATCTCCGCTTTACTCAGCTGACGAGCCTCCTTCTCCTTCTTCTTCCGTCCACCTCCCCTCCCACCCCAGTTCCCCGGCGCCGTACCATCGAATTCCTCCGAATCGTAATCCACACCAAGTTCCTCAGCGGCATTTCTCAGCCAAGTGTCTTCGCTGTGGCCCTTTTCTTTGGCCAACACAGCATCGGCAATACGCTTGGCAAGATCAACGCGGGACTTGAGGCGAGCAGCGATTTTCCTATCAATGGCGAGCGTCTCGATGAAATGCTCACGCTTGACGCCTCCGCCACCTTCTCGTTCGGAATGGACTTTGCTAGCCAGACGACGAGTAGGCAAAACTTCCTCTGGAGAACACAAAATAACACTGATACCAGAACGGTCGCCACGAGCAGTTCGGCCAGATCGATGGATATAAGTGTCCGCCTGGCGAGGCACGTGGTAGTGCAAAACCTGATCGACTTCTTTGATATCTAGACCTCGGGCGGCCACATCTGTCGCGACGAGGATGGAGTTGCTGGCCGCGGCGAAGCGTTCGATGGATCGCAGACGCGCTTTTTGAATCATTTGAGAGTGTAAAGGGAGCGCTGAGAGGCCGAGGTTCTGGAGGAGAGGAGTGAGACGGCGGACGGCTGAGATGGAGTTTGTAAAGACGAGAGTGCGACGGCCGGGGTTGAGGACAAGAACGGTGTACAAGTAGAGATCCTGATTTATGAAATGTTAGCAACATTGACTCAAAGAAGCATGAAAAGCCAGAGGTCATCTTGCAACTTACCTTTTCCATGGCACCGCATTCAATCAAGCCCTCCTTCAGGCCGTCAGCCATCTGCGACACCGGGTTGACATCGATAAACTTGGGCTCGCCCCGGAACTTGAGACACTTCATCAAATATTCCATCTTCTCCTCATCACTCCCCGTCTTGGAGCCCTTGCCTCTGCCGGCCAATTTAGACTGCAGATTCTTATCGAAAGTAGCCGAGAAAACGAGCGTCTGTCGCGGGGGAAGTTCATCGTCATCGTCGTCATCGGCCTCGGGGTCTCGTCGATCCAACGCACCGATAATATCTTCCGCCTCCTTAAACTGTCCTGCCTTGAATAGTCTATCCGCCTCATCGACAACCAGGAATTTAATCTTGGTAAAGGAATCCTGCAGACTCATGTCGCCATCCAGGACCTCCCAGAGACGACCCGGTGTCGCAATAACAATATCAGCCTTCTCCAACTGTCTCTGCTGCTTCTGAATGCTTAAACCACCCGTAACCGTGCAAACGTACGGCGCAGTCGGCAATCCATCGCACAGCGCCTTGATATGGTCCGAGATCTGCTTCGCCAACTCTCTCGTCGGGCTGAGAACAACCGCCGTCGGGCCCTCCCGCTTGACATTCGTCTTGTCCACGTACAGCTCCAGCCACTTCTCCACGATCGGGATGCCAAACGCCAGCGTCTTTCCCGATCCCGTCTGCGCCTTTCCAATCACATCGTCGCCCGCCAGGATCTCAGGAATCGTCTTCTGCTGGATGAGCGTCGGCTTCGCGAATCCCAGCTTCGCAATCGCAGACACGGTGCGCGTCGACAGGTTCAGCTCCACCCAGGCACCCATGTCTGCTTCTTCTTCGGCGGCGTCGTCCACGGCCATGAGGGCGTCGAAGGAGTTGCCTTTCTGTTGCTGCTGCTGCTGCTTGTGTGAAGCGGGCTTTTGTAGCTCTTTCTCGGCCGGCGCCAGCTTGTCGCCCCGAGACTTGAGCTTGTTGTTTGTTTCCTTCTTCTGCTCCTTGACCCTGTTTTTGT